CTGATATCGAGACGAGAATTCAGCGACTTAGATAGTCCATTCCAAGTTCATGCAACGTCATTCAACGCCGTTTGAAGCTAACTTTCGTTCAACATCCAAAGATCGTTCCTCATTTATGATGTTCGAAATATTGACCGTGGGGATCGATAGAGAGATACCCCCCCTTCGAAAGAACGTGAAGCATTTAGCGAATATTTAACAGAAAATTAACATAAGATAGTCGCGTGCGGAATAGCAGCTGGCAAAAAAAGAGGAAAGACACCTCCGACACGGCGAGTACCGCTTGAGAAAAAGGCCAGCAAAAGGACGAAGAAGCCTATTCGTCATCCTGTCAGACTACACGATGTTACGCCACCTTAGCCTCGAGATTCACGAGGGTGGATTCTTTCGATGATCAGGGAAAAAGTATAACCTGTCCGACTTGCGGCCCCGCAAGAAACGAATCGCCGGAGATAGCGTGCGTATCAGACGAGAAGAGGAAATCGGCGATCTTTCGCCCAACTTTCCCCACGGGGGACCTTCCGTACCCTCCCGGTGTCATTTTTCATCCGTTAAGGCTCTTTTCCATGCAATCCGTCGCCTCGACAATGACAGGAACGTCCCCCGGTGGAAAATTAACAGGGAAATCCGTGCTCTTCCAGCAGGAGGTTCAAGGTTCGAAGCGAAAGCTTCGAAAGTTCCGAGACAATGCGAAAGGACGAACGAGGCGGGCGACGAGCGACGAGCGCGGAATTAAAACGGACGGACAAAGCGCCGGCTGATAAATTGTTCGGATAATCGAAGAAAACCAAGTGAACAGGGGCTTACGCCTGGGATTCAAAGCGCGCGGTCCTTTATGAAGCCGTTGCTCGCCGAGGGTGAATATCATCCTGTCGAGCGTCACTCGCACGTGTTTCCAGCCCGCGTTCCCGTGCCTTTGCGGAACGCTCAAACGTTTCCACTTCTCTCCTCTCCTCTCCCCTCCTCAGTGCCTTTCGTTCGTTCAATCTTCCCTCCCTGGGTACAACGAAATCTTCTATGGGATCTCTAATGGAATACTTCCATCTGGAGAAATTTTATATTCGCCTCGTTCTCCTTCTTTCCTCGTCGCGCGATCGAAAGGAACGCACGAAGATCAAGGAGGTTGGCACATCGTAACAGAAACTCGCATTCCCCTCGATTTCGCCGGCTCGTTTTCTTTATGGATCTCGCGAGTCTGTACATGGACAGTCCCAAAAGTATCCGACCTTTGCGTATAACTTTGTCCTTGAGTATCCAATTGTAAAAAGCAGGTACGAAGCACTTGGGAGAGTCGTTTAAGAATACCCTTAACCGATTAACAGAAGCCTAAAACTGTTGAAATACAACAACTTGATCATCCAGCAGTGTAAGCCCATTGCAAATGACTTTGTGAGGGGCAACGGTTGTCATCTGTTTTCTGTCTTCTTCCCACTATTTTTCTTTAGTCACGGACGGGACCATGCCGAGTAGAAAGTTCAGTTTTTTGCCAGTCCTTGCCGCGTGACTACCTCATTGTATCACAAATTATTTCATTAAATAAACCATTCGTTTTTTCCCCACAGAAGTTTGTTATATTTCACTACATTTCACTACAAAAACTATTCAGTCGACAGCAATACGCAGTTTTGTGAACGTTAAATTCCCCGAGCATCGCATCACACAACGACGGAGCGAATCGAGCAAAGAATTTGCACCGAGTTTTGCCAGAAACTTGGTCACACCTGTTCGGAGACAATTCGTACGATTCGAAAAGTTTACGGAGATGATTCCACGAGTGACACACAGATAAAAGAAAGAAAGAAAGAAAGAAGAAAGCACGTCAGAGTCGAAGTAACGACGTGAAGGTCATGCTCACCGTTTTCTCCTCCACCATGAATACGTCCCACAAGGTCGCACAATAAATAAAGAATATTGTTTAAAAGTGTAAGTACGGAGGAAACGGCCACATCTTTGGGAAAGTGACAATTTGGTTGCTGCGCCATGACGACGCACCAGCTCATTCCATTTTCGCTGGCATTGTTCAAGATTTCTTAGTAAAACATGGCGCAACTTCAGCTTCGGCAACCCCCGTACAGTCTGGATCTAGTACCGTGTGATTTTTCGTTATTCCCAAAACTGAGAAAACCGTTGAAAGGCCGAAGATTCGACGATGTCGAAGCAATAAAACAAAATGCGACGCAGTAGCTGCTAGCCATAAAAGAAAAGGACTTCGAAGACTGCTTCGAGAAGTGGAACGACCGCGGGAAAAAAGTTATAGAGTCGGATGGGAACTGCTTTGAAGGTGACGTCGTGGAAATTACTCCTGAATGGGAGTATGTTTTAAAATATAAGCAGAGGTCGGAGGACTTTTTGGGACAGCCCTCGTACACGAGTCTCGTTTCATCCGTTCTGGACGATAACGTTGCTCTCGGCAAGCGGACGAGGCGTCGCTCCGAGGATGTTTCGACGTCGAGCGCGCTAAAAATCTTCTTCGGAAGAAAGTCACAAAGCGAGATACCGCGTCGCGTCCCGACTAGAGAAACAAAACGACGCCGGAGGAGAGAGAAAGAGAAAGAGAGGAATGTGCGCGCAAAGCCAATCCAGCAAAATCAGGCGAGGGGGGAAGAACGGGGGAGAATGTCGAAGAGTGAAGTTTATCGCGTTGTTACTTTAACGAAGTATTCTCTCTCCTGGTGCAGGCATTCCGGCAGATATCCGACAGCGAAGAGAAATCCTCGGGATTCGCGAGATAACTCCGCGAGTCTGACGACGACCACTTCGCCCGAAAGATACTGCAACTTCGCTAATTTCGTGATAATGACCGCTGCAGTTAACGATAAACTCGTGCGTCTACCTCCTCGGCTAATTTCCCTCGAACACCCTGGTAACCGTTCGCGTCGAACCAGAGACACGAACGAAGAGTAACCGACACCGGCGCGCATCGGCCTCCGGTGTAACAGGAACCGTATTGCACGCCGAAAATGAGACGAACGAAGATGAGAAACGAGCTTTCGGACGAGAGACGAGATAAACAGGGATTTTGAGAGATTCAACGCCGCGGCGACGCTGATTTAACGAACCGTCTACGTTTAATGGAAGCGTTTCGTTCCCTCCGGAAGGACGCGTCTAGACGGGAAGGGTAACTCCGCTTTCGCGCCTAGCATCGCTTAGCCTAGAGAAGGAAAATGACGCTGTCGTCTCAGCGACGACGGTCCCAGTTGTCGGACCGATAGTCACTCGACGAGAACAAGCTGCGGGAAGCTTCGTAATCTGCCGATATTTATCGATCGCGTGCTAGTTTTGGATGAATTTCGTTCGTCACGCACGACGAATAACCACACGAAACTCGTTCGATGGCTGAAAGGTGCCGATTGTCCGACGCGGGCAACGAAGCGCACGTACGAGAGAAAGTACTCGCGCCCGTTTCTTTCTCGTTCGTTCGGCGAGAAACTGACAAGTGTCAAACCCTGGTAAAATCGAATTTCCTATTAGCAACCGTATCTCGGAAGTCTGACGTCAGATATCGAGGACGATATTCCCCCCTCCCCTTTCACCCCGTTGCGACAGCAGATTTCTCGATGAATCTCTATTGGAAATCTCTCGTCTGTGAGAGAGAAATACACCCTCCTGTGGAGACCCACTCTCGTGGAAACTTTTCTGCAAAACCCGGCTCGACTTTTGCTGCCGTTTTACGAAACTGCTCGAACGAAACTCGAACAAATAACGACGACCAAGAGACGATTAAAATATAATAGAGTAGTGCCCTGTTAACCTCTTGCGCTGGTAACTGGTTGACGGACCATAACGAGTGACCAAACCGTATACGATAATTCGTTTTCTTTTTGAATTCATCGGTATATCACTGGATAGAAATTACTGAGAAGTAACGAATTTATTATTTGTTTCGCCTGGATTGTATTTCAATATAATTGAAACTGAGAAAATATTGCAATTTTGGGACAGAAAATTCTCGACGTGCGCATTCAAGAGGTTAACCACTTGCGCTGGCAACTGATTGCGGACCATAACGAGTGATCAAACCGTATACAACAAATCGTCGCTTTCTTTTTCTTTCAAACTCGTCGGTATATCACTGGATAGAAATTACTGAGTAACAAATTTATTATTTGTTTCGCCTGGATTGTATTTCAATATACTTAAAACTGAGAAGATATTGCAATTTTCGGCCAAATATTCTCGACGTGCGTGGCACGTCCTTCCAGCGCAAGAGATTAAGTATCCGTACTTTTCCGCAGTTAAGCGTCTGTCGCATCGAAGTAACACAGAGTTTCAAAGGCAGAGTATCAATCTCGCGTCTACATGAGATTAGAATTCACCGCGGAGAAAGTGTCTAGAAAGAATCGTGAATTTTTTTTCAATCGGATTGATCGGCAGCTGCAATAAGTGTCACGGATAACGCGTGAGCACGCTGCAAACTACAGTTCGAACGTCGGGAACGTTTGAAGGGAATTTTTCATTCCTCAGACGCGTCGCGTTAATCTCCGTCTCACACGGAAAGTTAAAAACAGGGTAACTGCCAAAGGAATTTCCATTCGAAGCGAGTGGAAAATGCCCTTTACGCGTCATATCGCGCGAGTGTGAAAACGAACAGAAACGTACTCCTCTGTACTCCGAGACTGAAAGCCTCTGGTTCCGGGCGCTTACCGTCGTTAGCCGTTTCAACTCCGCAATTATCCTTCCCCCCCCTCCCTCTCCCTCTCGGTAAGACCTCGTGCACGTTTTTTCCATTCTCCCTGGCCATTTTCGTTTCGAAATAACCGACTCGTTTCGACCGGCTTAAGCCCCGTTAATCCGCGGGCTCCTCGATTCCGACGAGCAGTCGGTAAATCCGCGAGATGACCCGATCGATTTTAACGCGTTACCTTCGAAACTATATCTACACCTAGCGATCTCAAGTACCATTATCGACAAAAGAGAGAAAGAGAGAGAGAGAGAGAGAGTCGTGTTCGTGATACTCGAAACTTAGTCCAATTATCCCACCGACTGGACGTTTTTTTCAGAGCATCGTCCTCGAGATGAATCGACTGGGTATGATGGTTGACTTGTCGCATGTCTCCGTGCCCACGATGCTCGTCGCTATGAAGACGTCGAGGGCGCCCGTTATTTTCAGCCACAGCAGCGCCCACGCCCTTTGCAATTCCTCGCGAAACGTGCCTGACCACGCGCTGCGACGTTTGGTAAGTTATCTTAAAATTAACATCGCCTTGCTTATCTCGCGTTTTCGTTAACCCCTAGTTCCGTGGGGATTGTTGTTGTCGCGTTATCATCGAATAAACGTCGAGATTCCTTCTTTGACGATGCCGCATCTTTCTGTCTACAGGCGCAGACTGACGGTATAGTTATGGTATCCTTCTATCCCCATTTCATCAGCTGTGGCGAGAAATCGACGCTGGAAGACGTAGCCGGTAAGTGAAACACAAATTCCTTTTGGCTTTCGGCTTCGAACGTGATTGAATTTCATTTTTCAAAATTGCGCTCGAAATAATGCTTGCAAATCCTACCTGAATTTTGAATTCAGAATTGAATTTTACTTTATTAGTTTCAATAATATGACGACGTTGAACGTATTAAGCATACGTATCAGGTTCTACCAGGTTATTAGATACCAGACGTTAATCTCTTACGAAGCCAAGTGGCGAATGCTGGCGAAGTGTCAAACTATACTTCTTCCGTAAAGACGTAGTTCACACCGTTCGAAAATTACGCGACACCGACGAAACACGGAAACTTCAAATCTTTGCAACTTCTTGTGCCAAGTGTTTCGCACACCGTGCGTGTGTACGCGTGTGTACGCGCGATTTCCACCGCTACTAGATGACTGTTGGATAACCGAACCCCTCTACGACCCCTCTATTCGTATCGCCTCTATAAATATCGCTTTTACGAGCAATTATTAGACACCGAGCAGGATGCCGGAACGTTGTGCTTCTCCATTCGTACCCAGAACGATATCGCCTTTGTTTGAACCGCGACCGAGTTGCTCGGCTAATCCTTCCCGTTTCCCGCTGCAATCAAGATTGCTCTCGGTCTTTATTTCACATAACTACGGCAACACGATCACCGTCCTATATTCGAGGATAAAAGCTAATTGAAGGGGACCGCGTCGATTGCTCTTTTTTTCTCCCTTTGCCCCGCGCGTTAATATGATTTTCTCTGCGACCAAGCCGCACCTTTCGTCGTTCTCTTCGTCGTCTTCAGAGCAAACTCCGCAACACCCCCGACGTGGCAGGACCGCTAAAGAGCTCTCCGGGAGAGCCGCCAATTTTCTCATATACCCAATTTATTTCGACCTTCTTGCGAGCCTCATTGCTCGCAACCGTGCGTAAGAGTACCGTGCGCGATGAATCCGTAAAGAATCGGGACAAGGACAGAGATTTCACGTGTTTCGAGATTTTGAGAGAGTGATTTCAGAAGTTATTTAGAAGTGATGTCAATGTAGTTAAGATTACCGTCGTTTAGAATCGTTTCTTTCTTCGCAAAGATGTAATAGAAATAACCCCGATTGGTATATTTCATTTAAAACCTCTGTCAAGTGTGCTGGCCAATAAAGCTGGTACAAGAGCGAAAGGATAATTTAAAATAACATCACGAGCAGCTCCTTTTGTATTGATAAAGTCAGTTTTCAAATTCGCTGGAGACATCGTCCAGAGAAAGGCGGTGAATGCGTTTTAAACGCGAAAATGCGTTAGCATTCCCTCTCGAATATACGTGCACGAATTTTTGCGAAAATCGCGCGTAAATGAATTCCTTTCATTAACCCGTTTGAGTTTTAATATCGTGTTACACTCGTGGCAGGAATTATGATTCTGAGTTGAAAGGGGAAAGCAAATTATGAACCTGCGGAACGTGAATTTTCGAATTTTCAATTTTCATTCTTCGAACTGAAAGTGAATAAATACAAATTATATCACATAGATTTCTGGAACGTGTACGTTCTTGTACGTTCATTTTGGTGAAAAATCGCGAGAAAAGGAACAAAACAGTTCTCGTTTTTCCACTCGTTCATTTACATGTTGTTATTCGTATTATCATTCCAATTATTATCTATTTTGGCATCCATGTTATCATCTATATCTACACGATTATCCAACGAAAATACTACAAACGCAAACGTATATTATACAGAGTATGGACTACTCTGATTGCAGCTCGATGTTGTTCATTGCAGCTAACATTGTTCGACACGCCAAACTGCGGTTCGACCTCTCAGTTGTTCACTCCCAAGTTGACAAGCATCGAGCAAACTTACCGAAGTTACGAGTGAGAAAATGAAGGAAACTTTTTCTCTTTCTCTTTCCGCGATTTTCTCTAAAGTGGGGAAAAATCGAGCAAATCTCCTTCGGTTCATCGATTTTCTAGACACTCCCAAAGTTTCGACATTTAATTAATACTCTATATGCGTAATGCTTCGAACGCCTCGTGTATCTGACACGATACACCGCGGCTAATTTAGTTCACCGACGACTGAGAAGAAAATCGTAATGGGGTTAAGATCAGCTTTCAAATATGACCGAGTATAGGTGGAATCAAACGCGATCGCAGTCGGCGAGAGCCACGTCGAAACATATTGCCTCGTGGGATGGGTTTCAAGCGCAAACGGCCGACACTTTGAATAAACTTCGCCTTTCCACGTGGAAATGAAATATACCGGGGCAAGAGTGAATTTATGCAGCAGCCTGTTCCACCGCGGCGCAGTTACGAGCGGCTGGAGAAAAAAAATGGAAAAGAAGAAAGAGAGAAGGAAAAAAAGAAAGAAAGAAAGAAAGAAAGAAAGAAAGAAAGAAATCTTCATCGAACGCGACTGTGCGCCGAGAGTCGGCAATTGCACTTTCATATCTGCGATACCCTTTGTGATTCATGAGACGCGAGCGTAAGGAAACTTCAGAATTCCAACGGTGAACGGCACACGGAACTTAGCATTTCCTTGGACGCGCCCATCCACCCATCCGCCCCGTACGCGACCTCGCGATACGATACAGTTCTCCGCGCTCGTTGCATTTCCATTGCGAGAGGCAGAGGCAAGGCGTGCCGGCCCAGCCGGAATGAAATGCATTTTCCATTCGTTTAAAACGGCGCTGGAATTCCGTGACCTTCCGCGGCAATTATCGCCACGCTTTCCAGCTCGTTATTATGTTAAACGGATCCTACCCTCCTCGTCCTCCTCCTCCCCCTTCTGCCGCGGTCCATGCCACGCGTTTCTTTCGCTAATCCCGCGCATTTACGCCCACACTCGGGGAGGGTCGAAAATTTCGCGATTTCGTCGCGCACGCAATTTCACAATCCCAACCGCGGATGTCTCTTCCCTCTGTCGTTTCTCCGCGTGATTTTCTACGCGGATTTCGCTTCCACCAAAGCGAAATACCGATCCGTGGCATTACCAGTTTCGCGCATAGTCCGCGTGAACCTTCGTGCACCACGGCGTGACCGTGGGAATACCAAATGCATTCGCACCAGCAGGCAAATATCACGAACCGATCCGATGATTGGGAAAGAGAGCTTAAAGCAGAACAGCGCCACGATTGCGGCGAGCTCTCCCCCAGGAGTCACGAATTTCATTCGCTTTTCGTTCTCGTCGCTCATTCTTTTTTTCTCTTTTGTTTCCTTTTTCTTTTTTTTCCCCCCTTTTTTTCTTTTCTTTTCGTTCCGCCAGCTGTCTTCCTCCGCTCGGCTCGTCGAGTTTCGAGTGTGTTTCTCGAGAGTATCGACGGTGGATTGCACGATAAAAGAAGCTCGCGACTTCGACGAGGAGCTAGCGACGGAATGAGCAATGGCTGTAACGGCGACGGAGAGACTCGCCTAATTAAATCCCTGACTAATTTATTGAGAACTTTTCGTCTCGTTGCAAGTTTGGGAGTAAATTAATGCTCGATGCGCGGAAATTAATAGTCGACGCGTACGCCGCTCGAAACAATTATGAAAACTTCACCGTGAACGATTTCAACGATCGAGTTAAGAATAGAACGTTGAGAATGAACTTGATTCGTAATATCGTAATAAAACTATACTTTAACGAGTGTACAGGTACGAATAAAACATTTGGAAACTGGCAACTCGATTAACGTATTAAACTCAAGTTTTTCTTTCCTTGCGCAATATCCGAGAGCCGACTGAGGGCTGTCAGGGGCTTTATGCATTTACAAAAGATTTAAACGCGCGTATTATGCAGAAATATACAAAACGTATACACGACCGAGCTACTCGTTATATTATTTAGATGGTGGAACAAATCTCTGCTTAGCTTCCACTTCTTTGGTTATATTCCGCGGGTGTATGAATTTGCATTCGTAATCTACTGGCTGTAGGAACACGTAAGTATTCTTAACAAGGTCAGTGCTAACTCTTATTGACGATGAAGTTGAAAACTTATTATACCATACCTGTTTCATTTTTATCGCGACACTTTAATTACAATTATTTATACCATTCATGTAATTTTACGAAATCTTTGAGGTTCCATTGTTTTTCTAAAATTAGACTTTCGACACGTAATCGAACTGTGGCACGATATTCAGGTTTCAGTTTAAATGTGACTTAAGCGATTGTTTTCTAGTGTTTTCACATTCGAGAATCGTTTCGGATAAGTAACATTTGTATTCTATAGTCCTTACAGAATATTATTTAATCCAAAGAACAATGATTTCAATGGGCACATGTGATATGTACAAGTGTTGAAGAGGGCGACGAATATTTTATTCGCGACTTTTATTTCGTTTTGTTAATTAAGATGTATATATTATTTATATGTTCAAATTTTTTATAAATACAACAAAAGTTCCCAAACTAGTTAAATTAACAAATTTCTTTGTAAGACGGACCAGATAGAATATTTATTAAAATTGACAAAAATAACCGTTTCTACGACTTTCTAACTAATAGAAATAAAAATTTTATAACTGTATTGCATTTCATACGTGTTTTAATAGGGCAAAACCAGAAAATTTTATTTTCCCGTGAGCCGAACAATTTTTTCCAAAAATTTTAACCTTTTTGTTACTGTACAAAGTCCAATTAAGAGATTTAGACATGCGCGAATTGTTTTCTTTCTCTTTCTTGCCACCCGATACGTTGTTACGAAGCTGAATACCCGGTTTTACCCTACTTTCCCCCATCATTTTTGTGCGCATTCGTGTAACCCGCTCGAATGACACGTTTTTCCGCGGAAACGGTGAAATGGACGCGGCAGACGATAAAGATGCCTGTAAGGGTCGTGAAATCGAGCGACGATCCGCTTCCGCGGGATCGCGTAGGAAACGGCGAGAAAATTATGCCGGGGAACAGGAAGCACCGTGTTAAACGGACTGGCAGCAATAATTTTCGCTGGCTGGCGCGGTTATACGGCGAACCGCGCTGCGCTTGGCCCATTGACAACATTAACCTCGTGATTGATTTCTCGTTGCGAGCGCTGCTCGTAGCACACGCCCGCTGGCACAGCGCAACAATTACGGCCACTTAATAATAACGGGGCCGTGATCGCCCACGCGTTCCCCGAATAATGCGTTACGCGTCAAGTGCACCCTGCGGCTACGCTCACCCCTCCCGAGTGTAACTGACATTTGCACTTAGGACGCGCGGAAGACGATACGCGATGTTTGCCCGACCAATCTTCCCGGGATTGCGAACACATCACCGATGTTAAATTGTGAGTATCGGAGGTTAAATTCCCGTAAATGGCGAGCAGCCATTTTCAGGTGAAATTCATGTCATCGGTTTGATGTCAAACAGAGGTATATTAGAAATTACAATGGCAACGCACAGTGTGAGAAAGTATTCGTTACACCTAGATTTCTTGGAGACATCTTTACGAAAACAAACGACATATTAGCAAAATCTGATTTTATAAATATATACAGGGTGTTTCGTAACTTGTGGGATCCACCCTTGTGGGCTTCAGGAGCTGATTGTACGCCTAAAAATAATGAAAAAAATATAAATATATGTCCTATCTGTCTTCGTTTATGAGATACAATGAATTTTCTGTTTTAATTACTTTTACAAAAGATGCTCGAAATGACCACCTTGCATTTGAAGACAAGCCTGCACACGTCTTGTCATTCATCTGGTTACTCTCTCTATCATTCCTGGTGTTTCTCAAATTTGTCGGAAGCCTTGCTCTATTCTATTTCGTAGTATTTCAGCATGTTCAATCGATGTTGCGTATACAATAGATTTTAANAAAATCAACGTACTTTGTGCCTGTTAGTTTCCCATCAAGAAAAAAAGGTCCAATTAAAAATTTATCAATTATTCCTGCCCACACGTTTAAACTAAGCTGGTGTTGATGTCTTGAATGCACAATAATGTGTAGGTTTTCTTCATCCCAATTATGATTATTATGAAAATTGAATATACCATCCCTGGTAAAACTAGCTTACTAGAGTTTGCTCTGTTTATAAAATTCATTATATCTCATAAACAAAGACAGATAGGACGTGTATTTATATGACTTGTTTTCATTGTTCTTAGGCGTGCAATCAGCTCCCGAAGTGGATCCCACAAATTACGAAACACCCTGTATAGTATATATATTATAAATAGCTCGCTACGTAACGTGCACTGTAGTAATTTCCAATCAAGAGTTACACGATAATAATACAAAATTGGAGAGTCAAAAAGTTCCATTAATTTACGTTCAGTGTTAGAGAAATTACAAAATATTCTTTCGTAAATACTAGAATGTCATCGAACGATATCGCGCCAATATTGTCGAGGGACGATTTGGTCTGTAAACCATAAAAAATATTTTACATTTTTTTCCAAATATATGGTAAAACTGTAAAACAGATCCCCGCGTGTGGATATCCATTTGATTCTCGTATTTTTACACTACTTGCATTGTTATTGTACGACTCATTAATAAAAACCATTAAGAGTATTTTATTTTCTGTTCAAATACACAGTAGAGCTGCAAAAAAAAAAATGTCCTCGTATGTCAATAGCTTTTTTTCGTTTTCAACTTTTTGTATCACTTGTATCGTTATTGTATAACCCATTATTGAAAACCATTAAAAATATTTCAATAATTCTGTTCATACACGACAGATTTATTTCATTGCTCTGTGATAAAACTGTAAAAAAAGCTCTCGTGTGTCAGTATCTTTTTGGTTCTCAAATTTTTATGTCACTTGTATTATTGTTTTATAACTCATTATTGAAAACAGGTGCAAAAATATTGCCGCGTATCAACATTGTTTTGTTCATCGGATTTTCATATTACTTCTATTATTATCGTACGACTCATTACATTGGAAATTGCTACTGTGCACGTTGTAGGGAACAAATTATTCGCACGTCAACTTTACATCGATACGACAGAGACCCTTGCAGATTCGCAACATCAGGTTTAAAAAGAAACGGCAGAATCTTTTCTTTATCCCTCTTCGCGCAATGTGAGTGTCAGATATTTTTCACAATGCGATCGAGCTCTGGAGCCAAATGAAATTTTAATCAACGCCCGGGTTAACTGAACTTAACGTTCGATCGATCGTGAACTTTAATTGGATGTATAAACAAAATGTCCCAGATAATGTGGAGAATTAATCAATTCGAATTATGTAAACTGCAGTTACATGTACAAACCGTTTGTCTCCCCCCGGAGCGAATTCGTATAAACAGAAACATCTACTCTGCAACATTGTAATTCCAACTAGTCGGCTGATTATGCTCACACTTCCGAAAAGATATATAACTGACGATATGAATAAATGTAAAAAATTGAAATTAGACGAAACGATTCGTTTGAGTCAAACAAATCGTATGTACGTGCTACGCTACAGGCTTAATGACAACGCTCAATTTCATCTGTTGCAGCTCACATTGACCACGTGCGGAAGATCGCCGGTGTGGATCACGTAGGAATAGGCGCCGGCTACGATGGGATCAATCTGTAAGTCCTCCAAATTGTTTTGGTATAAATATATACTCTCAGACGAAACTCTTGAGAGTCTCCTGTTGCAATTAATCGCAAAAAGCTCGTAGTTTTTAACTACGAGCTGGCTTTAACAAACGCATGGTAAATAAGGAAACCGAAAACACGGCGGTAACTTCTTGGAAAGCTTTTTTTAGTGTTGCTTTCATATCGGTCGCGATTTACGAGGTCCGACGTGCAGCTGCCATAAAGCGTACGTTGTTTCTTTATGTTCGCCCGAAGTGTTGACCAGTGGCCCCATAAAGACGTAACACCAAAGCATGTTAAACCGTACCGAGCCATTTTCCCTTTACCAGTTCTTAACTACGCGTCTTTGGAAAGATTCTGTTGTACAGGGTAGGAAACAAAGTTTGTCTGTGGTAATCATAGATGAATTCTAGTTTTACCTTCGATTTGATGGAAATATGTAAAGAACCTGCCTTGCAGAACTTTTCCAAGTTTACGTAATATAGACGTCCACGCATGCAGAATCATAAAGTCGCTGTTAGCACGCGCGCGTCCACGATTAAGAAACTTCTTTCGCCAGTTTTCAAAAGTGGTTGGAAAAGTTTTACTTTCGCAACGAGTCGAATATAACGTAAAAAGAGAAATTTTTGTCCTCGAAATTCCAGATGAAAGTCAATTTTGCGACAGGTTCTTTACACATTTCCATCGAGTCAAAGGTGCCGCGGGCAAACTTTTCTTTCAACCTTGTACATTCCTTTCGAAGTAGTTTCAACAACACACGTTTACATTCCATGCATAACCATAATAGTAATCCGCGTATTTTTTTATACCTATGTACACGAGTTTTACGCACGAATGCAATCGGCGTTGAAACAGGTTCACACACGCGATTGCATTCCAACACGTGTTGCATGAAAATGCGTTTCATTGCTGGAAAATAACGACGGATGGTAGAACGATAAAAAAAAAAAGAAGAAGAAGAAAGAAAAAAAAATCGCGACCGATTATTGGGATTAACGAGAAATATGAATGGAGGCTGGAGAGAGAGAGAGAAAGAGAGAGAGAAAAAAAAGAAAAAAAACGTTTGAACAGTAAAGGCATTAAAACTATTCTCCAGCAAATTGTTTCACGCGACCCCGCACGTTCCATTAAAGCGAGCCGACGCGAGCGAGCGCAAAGGGGTGGAAGAAGCGATAACATCGATGCGCGCGATATACATAGACGTTCGATATTTCATAGATCGAACGGGACGTCGTCGCGTCAGTCAACCATCGTCCATCGGCTAATTCCTCCGCTTACCCGGTTAACGTCGCCGCGGCGACGTTAATTGTAACAGAGCCCAACAATGGCCGTGACTGGGCCAGGAATATTACAGATGGACTAAAAGCAGATTCACCGGGCCGCGGTGTCGCGCGGCGGCGTCGCTCTATTATCACCGTCGTCGTCGTGCCGTTTTGTTTGCGTTATAACTCGCCGGTAGAAGGTATTTACCAGAGTTTCATCGTCGCCGGAGAAACAATGGCGCGAAAAAGGATCGGATGAAACGCGGCGACTATCGGTCGACCCTGTTTGCGACGCTGTGACGCATTATACCTGCCCGAGGCTGGAATCGGAGCGTTTGCCATTAAGCTGCGCGCGCTTGAAAAGAGAAAAAAGATCGCGACAGGGAGAGAGAGAGAGAGAAAGAGAGGGAAAAAGAGAGAATAAAATGCGAAAAAAAAGGTATCAGATGCTAAAAAGTTGTCAGGTTTCGCAAATCCGTGCGAGAGACACGTGCGTGGACGTGGAATCGAATAACTGGAATAACAACGCGAGCCAAGAGAGCCAAGCGATTTGCACATCGTACTTCGACGAAAAAAAAAAAAAAGACAGAAGAAAAGAAAGGAACAAAAATATAGCAAACGAGAAGAAAAAGGTGGCGTCGATCGAATCCGTTTCACCTGCAATGCCGTTTTCGTAGTTTCGTCGGGGGGGAAGGGGCGACATCGAGAACGCTTCCGGCGCGCGAGCAACGCGCTCGAATTATCTACAAACGGCCGAACGATTATTAATTGGACAAAATCGGGGAATTTATCGTTCGTGCGTGTTTAAATTCAATGGCTGACGCACGAAATAGAATAGGTTCAGCGATGCTGATCAAAACGGGGATAAACATCATCGAAACAGCACAATTAACAAAAGTCTGCCGACTAAGCAATTAAGAATTAATTACATAATTTTCGAAACAACGTTTCTCCCGTGCCAAGCCTTTGACAGTCCAACCATAAAACTGAACTCGCTTTATACTCGCTCTAATTGCCTAGGACACGGAAAGTAATAAGAGATAACACTTTTAGCGGAGCTTCGTCAGCGAGAGAAATGTTAGGAAGCACACTGCGTTTCTTCTTTTCACGAGAGAGCGATCCTTACGGCAGTTACGAGTTACAACAGTCTCGAGTTAAAAAATTTCGGACACAAGTACGTAAAGAGAAACTCGCGATGGCAGAAAACACTCTCACACACACATACACAGGCTGAAAAAAGGTTTTTCAAATTTACGCACCAGCTGAGAGAAAATGGTAAATAAATTGCTAGATTGAAGTGCACTTTGAACGAGCGTGCAAAATAAGAATGATCGATCGGTACAATTATTATTGTTGGCGTATATACCTTCTCGGCTGGGCGAGATTGAAACGTTTGAAAGGAAGAAGAAAAGTGCTGTGAACTGGACCGGGAAATTGAGGTATCGAATAATAACGAACTGCAGAAAATTTCACGAAGTATCGAAACTATTATATTTCGTTGGAAAGCTTCGATTCGTTAATCGCTGGGGTTTGGAGTAAATACCGGGTCGACGCGGTTCCCTTCGTACATTCAATACCCTTGCCGAACGCAGTTGATTGAATAAACTCCGCGATAAGTGCGGTCGCGATGAATCGTCGGATATTCTAGCTTAAGGGAGGGGCGAATTTAACAAAAACACGAGTACGAGCAACGACAATCTCGCCCATTCGACAAACGTAACCTCGAATGAATGCATTTTTTAAAAAACACGACCCGTTTATTCCGGCACCGGAACATTCGGTTTTTCCGGATCCAATAATCAATTCGTCGTCAAAAGAAACGGCGACCTGAATCGAGACACGTTGTTTATTTATCCGTCCGATTGGGTGAACAGAAAAATCCAACAGACAGATTCGACCCAACGGAAACACGAAATTCACAGAATTCGATCGACCTTTCCGTTGATTAGGCTTTCAAAGAACGTTAAAATTCATATTACCATCGCCAACGTTGGAACGGGATTCCCTTCAGAGTTATTATTAATCGCGATACATACCGACCTGCGCGTGCTCAATCAACGAGCGCATTACGCCGCGTAAAAGATATTTATTAACCGGGTAATAGCACGATTAAGAGATAATTACACGGTTGACGTTCAACTCCGTAATTTTCGTTCGCTTTTTTTGACGGAATTCTTACGCTCGTGGATAGAAAAAAATGCGTAAAATGTACAATCGGAATTTGTCACGTGGCACCTAGGCACGGTTCTCCATTTTACTACCATTCATAAATATCCGGCCACTTTGCTCGATTTGCGTGGCAACGGTGTGTAAATTATACGAAGCAGTGCAAATTACCTTTTAATGCGTTCGATAGACTGTAAATCTCGATCGCCTGTTTAAAAACGCGGCGATAATACAGTTGAATAATCGCTACAATTAGCCCGTTTCATTTACTAGCGAGGTTTATTAGTTCAAAGCGAGGGCGTTGCTTCTGTCAAAAGTTTGCGCGTCAGTCTGGAACGTCGTCAACGTTGACTTTCACACAAGTTTAAAAGTGATTTTATTTTATAGAGGATGTCTCTGCGTCAGTAGTACAAGCGAAGTGAAGGTGAAAAAATAAGTTGAAAACAAAGGAAAAAATGTTTTCGTTTTCGTGGCTTTGTTCTCGAGTAAATCGAAATTTTTGAATGTTCTGCGTGTATGCGTGCATTCAACGACGACGTACATGAATGAATGTAATGTTGATCAGTTATTAATACCTGCTTACTTAGAATGAGTTTAGAACTGAACCTCCTCTCACGCGGAGACATCATCACGATCAATATAAAAGTGTTTCGTATTTAATTTTTCTGATTAAAATACGTATAATCGAAAATAATGCAACAGTAGTATACGTATATCTCCATGGAAATTTCATACGAGCGCACGTTTTGCGTTTATCTCAGTTTCTGTCGTTAGCGCATCAAACACTCTCACGCGAAAACTTTTTTAGTCGATCCCACAAGTCGATCGTAGATTAGAGGCAGAAGAAAATACTGCATCGAGAGACGAAAAAATTCTGACGGACCGTCCTCGAGGAAATTTCGCGTGCGATTAAAATTTACTCAATACCGTGATTCAATGGCAAGCACGTCGAGGTCGCGTTCAATCTCGAGGCAATCGTAATTTTAATAGCGTAATTGGCTATAGCTGCGCGTAGTCTGCAGTTTCGTACGATGAAATGAAAAAGGGGGGAGGGAAAAAGAACAAAAAAGACCTCGGAGTCACCTCGTATTTTCCCGTGAATTTCACGTAAATACCTTTTAATATTCCCCCTGAAAATGAATCGTTACACGCTTTGCCTTTGCTTCTCGATTTTTATTTATCGACGGTAAAAAAAAAAAAAAAAGAAAAAAAAGAAGAGCTCCGATAATATCGATGGACGATATCCGGTGCAGTTTGGTGATAACAAATAACGCACTAGTCATCGAACAATGAATGATATAAAAGGGAGTTTTGGTCGAATATTGATCGACGATCCGGTATAGTTTGATGACAACAAACAACGGACGGGCCATCGAATAACGTGGAACTTCCATTTTGAAAACGCGTCGTCCGCGCTTTACACCGTCGCGCTGCTCGGGATAACCGCGAGCTTTTTATTATTCGCCAAACGAATCGATACCGTAGCGGCGAATAAATAGCAACCGGCCGAATGGAATCGAGCATCATCGCGTTAAGTCTGATAATTACCATCAATTATTCTGTCCAATAATCCTACAGCCGGAGTAATTAGCATCGATATCGAAGGTGGGGGGAGGAGGGGGGGCGAGGAGAATTGGGGAAATGGAAGGGAGAGGGAACGAAAAGCGGGCGAAAGCCTGGCGAAGTATTTTTCTCCTTTCGCCACAGAGCCGCACAGGTTTTCACAGGAGTATCGATCACTTCAACGTTTCTTCCACTGCAGCCCGCTGCTTTTTCCTATTTTCGTCTTTCATTCTCGCTTATAAATCACTGTCAGATCAGGCTGGACGAAATGTATCTCCTGGTTCGAATGGGATTTTCGGTTCCGACGTCAGTCGTCGTCGTAGTCGTCGTTGTCGTCGATGGGACGCGGAAGAATGGAGAAAGATGGCGGTGATGCAGTTCTGGTGTCCACGTGAATGCCGGCTTTGTCGAGTTTCGTTCTTTTCGAGTAACGTTCGGTTCGGTCTGTGTATCTCGTATCCCGGAAATCCGGAAATCGTACGAATCAGTCGCGATCGTTCCTCCTCGCCCCCCTCGGGATCCAGTACCGTCGGCAACCCTCCTAGCGCGAAGCTGGAAATTCTGCGATTCGCGGAGACACGCTTGTAATCACGGTTATGTTAATTTAGAATAATCGCATTTGTGCTAGATAGATTATAGACAGCAGTGCTGTTGTTTCTTTAATCTCTTCAGGCATACGTGCGTTTTGTTTAAATTGTAATTATTCTCACCGACAAAGAAACAGTGAAAATTTACGCACTACTTTCGATATAAACTGAATAGGACATAATCAAACAAAAAACTAAATCATCATTTCCAACAAAAAAAAAAATTAATCGAGAAGAGGTCGAATCGCTGACGAGATTCATACACAATTCGAATCTTCTACCACCAATACTTACGATAGTCTCAATATTGCGTACATAATTGTTACTTCTTTCCCTTGGTTGGAAGAGAAGAGATTCGAAGGGGAAATGATAATGGTCCACGGGGTGAAACGGAGCCAGTGAAAAATTTCACATCGTAATCGCGCGCCGGCTAATATCGACGGTGGTCGAGGAGGCATCAACAGAGGAGGCATCGATAACGATGGCTGATACCAAACACGGGCAACGCATACGTGGAAACGTATTTCCCCGGGAAACCATCTCCCCCGCCCCCTTCCTCGCCCACCGGTGTACTCGTCCACGGTCGTCTCGTAATGACGGACACACTCGATTTGGAAATTTCCGAGATTGAAACAACGCCGGTGACCGCAGACGGTCGATGTCCGTACGCAGTATATAGCTGCATAACTGCCAGTTTCAGCCGCGATATGACGCGCCATGAATAAGTCTCTAACCGCTCTTGTTGGGCCGACATTGTCAGCAGGTAGCATTCAACGGGTTCTGCAACGCTCGTTGTCGGCTGGCCCTTCTCTGCCGCTCGTTATGACGCGCGTAATGAGAACGTCGAAATTCAGACTGATCCCTTTTAACGCTCTACTCGGCCGTCATTCCTCTAATTCGCCGTGAATATATCTGCCGCGTGCGTAGCGCCGAGTGGAGTCGAGTCGAGTCGAGTCGAGTCGAATCGCGTCGGGTCGACGCGATGCCATCGACCGTATCGAAATTAGTTAACTCGGCTTCCGTCACGTCTCTGCCGTTTCCAGCCGTTTCCGGGCACGTCGATTGATTTATTTATATTTTCGGCTGGAGCAATCCCGCCGAAGGAGTCAACAAATGCGATCGACGCTCGATCGTAACGAGGCCATCGGCCGAAGAGGTGGGTGGAGTACGAAAGAAGACGAGGGAGACGTCGCCCTAGTTTTCGCTTCACGACGACCCAGATAACGCGTTTAATTGCTGAATTAAATGCGAAATCTCACAGAAACGAAACCAAAAAAAAAAAAGAAAAGAACAAGCCGACCACCGCTTTTTAACGATTACACACGTGTAAATTGGGACACGTGCAAAGAAATTGCCGCGTCGCGAAACATTTTCACGTCAAGTTTGATGAAAGGTTGATGCGCGGTGAACGAGACGTGGCAAAAAGAAACACACAGTTATTAAAACAGACGAATCAGCGAGATTCACAGGAAGGTACCAAACACGTAGTGATCGGAAAACGAAAATATTTAACGTGCGATAATTTTTGTTAGTTTTTGTTATCCGGCGTTGGGGCGGCTCTCTCGGAGTCGTTCACAAAACGAGCGGACCTCGGAGCTCGACCTCGTGGCACATTTTCAGATTTCGGATCGCGGAAGGCGGGCCCGGAGACTCCTAAAGAACGAAATCGCCCCCTGACGTTTCTCGCTGCGCGTCAGCCAGCCAAGTCGCGCCGTCATCCGGCACCGGCTCTATAGTAATTAAAGTAATGAGGAATAAACCGCCCTAGGAGAATTGCAATTTGGAGAGGAAGCCCCTTCTCCCGGACAAGCTCGTTATCGTATTTCGGATTTCCGTCGCAACGGCTTTGTCTCGAGACGAGAAGCCAGCAACGCAGACGTTTCATGAAATTTCTTCGCCCCTCGCACGTAAACGTTATTAACGCTTTTCACGCCTATTGATTCGTGCAACTCGAACTCGAAATGGTGGAAACACAGCTCGAAGCAAACAGACAACCAAGCAAACTCGAGGAGTCGAGTGGAACGTTGGTACGTGGATCGAACAACGTCGCGCAAGGGACAAGTTGCGCTAATTCTTTCGTGGGTGAATTGTTATTCTGCCCTTCGTGTATTATGAACAAAGGTTATCGCGAGTTTCTCCGGTGTCGGAGGGGGGGGGGGGGGGGGGGCGCGTACGCTCGTATTAAACGTGAAAAGGATTATTCGTCTCGCGACCGGTGGCATAATAGATTAAACTTCCTCCTAAGAATTACGCGGCGGTGAAATTACTGTAGTAATACAGGGCACGTGAGGTATACCCGGCGCCTCTTATAAAAGTTTCAAGTAGTTTTCTAATTTAAACTCCGGCCGGGCGTACCCCTTTGCTTCATTAAAACCCTATTTTATCGCGCGGAAATATTTATGTAAATAGCGATCTCACGGCTTATATAAACTTTCCGCCCATCGTCGATGAAGGAGAGGAGCCTTTCGTTGAATGCTGATTTAACGCGTTAACCTTCAAAGAGACAGAGGAGCCGGCTGAAGTTGTTCGATCGACTGATCGAACGCAAACACCCTCGTACAGCATTATGTGTGTATTATGTGTGTATGTGTGTGTACACCTCTGACACTGGCGCAATTGTAATTGAAACAGTAGAAACGGTAGAACCTCGTTTATCCTCCGCTTCATTTATACTACGAACAAGTTAATGCTCACAGCTTTAGATATACAAATTCACGGTTGAATTTCCATTATGCGCGAGCTACCAGCGTAGCAACTTTAGAGTTGCACGAAACGTGTATTCTTGCACGACGAATCCATTCAGAATAAATTTCTCGCGAGCGCCAAGGAAGAAACGATTAAGCGCGAGAACCAACGAACGTTCTCGAGATAACATTGCCATCTGTCTTTTTCAGAACACCGGCAGGATTGGAAGACGTTAGCAAGTATCCGGAGCTGTTCGCGGAACTATTGGCGCGCGGATGGTTGGAAAAGGACATTCAGAAACTGGCGGGGCTGAATCTGATTCGTGTGTTCAAGGCGGTGGAGAAGGTAAACGTTTCTTAGTCCTCGAAATGCCACGTACACATAAGCACCTCTGTGGAACCAGATTTATTGGATTAGTCGGTGTTGGCGAGTCGACACGCCGATTTGATTTCACCGTGTTATACCACGGATGACGGTTTACGAATTTTTTTCAGCAACACGCGAGAAATTTATCGATCTGTTTGTGATTCGTGGCTAAGGTCAACGACTTGTCGGTTTCTTTTTCTTTTTTTTTTTTTTTGGTTCTGATCAAAAGTACCACTGTATTCCATTCGCTTGTTTCAATTATGGTTTTCGAGAAAACCAGAGATCAACATCCGGCGTGAATTAATCTCCCGATAATTGAGAATGACCAGCCAATTCGTATCAAATAGGCTCGCGATTTCGTCAATTTGTTGATACGATTCGTACGATCAGGTTATCGCGCTATCAAGTTGGCACGATTATATTCGACGATTATATCTAGTCGATATTGTTGCTAACCATTTTAGAGCTATTTAACAGAACGGTGTTGGGTAATGTCATAACTCTCTCGATGTAACTTGGCGACAAATGTCAAGCAATGCGATAAAAGTAGATAAAGTAAAAATTATTATGCCTGTGTTCATGCACGTGGTTTAGGTTCAATTGAAAAGAATATGGCGCTATTAATCGAAATGATCGAACGTTATGGCACTATTAGAAACTAAATTAAAAATGGTTGGTCGCGTAATTGAAAAGGGAAGAATCGCACGAAGTACAACCGCGAATCTGTCAGTTCTCTATAATTGCTCTGATATTCTTATTCCGATCGCGCAAACACGCGTGAAAGCGACAAGTGATAAATCGGTCCGTGGGACGACAGTCGACTGGTAGCGTTGGTCTCCCTCTGGACGCGAAACAACCGATGGCCAGGAATCAGGTTAGTCGAGTTAGACCAATATCGGATTTAATAAAGCACACAAATCATGCATCCGCCGGTGTGCATCGTCCGGAGAAACGGCTGGACTCCGCGCGTACACTCGCCCGACGATTTTTGTTCTCTTGGAGTTTTGCCAATCCCACTAGAACCAGCTGGCTCGATTCTCCACCTACCGAAACCACCGTCCCCTGCCCCATCCCCCTTCGCGCGATTTGTACCGATCTACTACCGTATGTGTGCGCACATACGTGTTATATACCGCTCACATCAAAGGATCATACGTTCGCCGTAGCTGCGTTTTCTAACGCCGCGCCTCCTGTCACGCGTTAGACCTTTGCTCCCCTTTCAAAAGCAAAGAAGGAAGATCATCGACGCAAAAGAAACTTGAAAACGCGCACTTTCACTACGGAGGCAGCTTATTTTCGAATTATTTCGATAAAATCGTTTGTGAAAACCGTTGGAGTTTTTTTTAACGCTGCGCGTTACGAAACTTGTTCCCGCGCCGCGGTTCTGGATCCGTACGATATTTTTCGTATCGCGGAGGAAAAGAAACGTGGAATATCTTCGTGTTGAATCGTGAGATTTTATCAAGAGTCACGTTTGCAAAAAAATGTGAAAAATTCGTGGGAAACGTTCCACGGGCTGTTTATCATTTCTAATATCAAGGAACGTGTCGCGTACAGTTTGCCTGCGTCTGACAAGCAAACGAATAGGAAACGAATAATTCGCATCACGTCCCAACGTTGCACGTGAAATCGTCGCCCGTGTTTTCGAGGGCCGCGTTAATTTTTCAAGTATTTCGACTGCTCCTCTGCCTCGCTGCCCCTCTGACTTGACTTGACTTTCTCCTCGTGGAGCCGACAGTTCGCTACGAGCAACGTTTACCGAGCGGAACATTAGCGGAATTACGCGAGAGCTCGTAGCGCGGGAAATTACGCGTGCAAATAGTGTCGGTTATTTGACGACCCTTGACGTTCGCCGTCACTGAAATTACAACGATAATTTAATCGCGATTCAGCCACCGTCCACGCAGCGAGATACTAACCAAAGCGGATTTCTCTAATACGCGAAAAGTAACACGACGTGCCGGTGTACAGTCAGATCTCGAGCAAAATGTTGAAAACCCCGGCGGCAACGAAACGAAACGTAAAGAATCGCTCGTTTTTCGGTGAGATTCGCGGAAGAAAGAGATGGGAGTTGCCTCATCGATCCAATTAAACGTTTCGCCGGCGGAAATTCACGCTAGACCCCACGGGAAAAGGAAATTATTCGCACAATGAAGCACAGTTTCCGGCAGAGCGATCGCTGCCGCTTCGCGAGAGCACCGTTCCCTATCTACGAATAGCGACTCCTTCGGCCTGGCAGGTGGCGTTAATTCATACCTCGTCAGACGAAGCGGAACAAGCACCGGCTGTACGTGTTCCTTTAAGCGGCTGTCTGTGTCTACGCTGTGTCTCTCGGCTCCCCCGTGTTTTACCGTGCGTGTCACAAAAGACAGAGGCTCGAACGACTTTAATTCCCCGCTCCTTGTTCCGGACGTAGGCGCGCCCTTCGCAGACCAGAATCCCCGAGCATTCGGACTGCTCGTTACTGGAACCGGCGAACGAAAACGTCGCAATTGTACAAACAATAGGGACCAACACGTCCGGAGACACGGAAATACCGTGTGAAATTGAATTTCGACCGTCGCCACGCCGGGACAATGATGAAATTTCGAATTACGCGGTGTCTTTTATCGTTCGTTGCGGTTCGTAGAAAAACACAGCGTCCGCGAGGTATGAACGGCGCCAGGTGAAAGAAGGCGAAGACCAGGAAATTGAAACGCGTCTTGACACACGAGGCTGTGCAGCCCGCGTTAATTGCATCCCGAGAGACGTGGCGCGAAACACGATTGTTTCCCCGAGACGAAAAAAAACATCGAGACTCGAGACCGAGGTAAGGGCAAGATGTTGGAGAAATAAAGGCGTAACGAATTCTGACGATCAAACAAGAACCAAGGCTAAGCCTTCGGTTGGATAATTACGAGAAAGCTTCCACGTATCTTGATACATAGTACGCTTCGTACGTGTAATCACCGAGGAATGTTTTTCAGTCCAAATGGATGAAATCGTCTAAAACGCGTTAAAGCTACACGACGCTTCGCGATCGCTATCTCGAGGATCGTGAGTGGAGTAATGACCGACGATATCGGTTCGGATGAGTGCAATAAGACACTTCCTTCCTCCCCCACGGTTATCGTCGCTCGTGAATAAAAGGGGAGGGGGGAAACGAGAACGAGTCGTGTTTGATTAAAAACATTTGGAATTTACGAACGATAACTTAATGACGAGACGACGGCGCTCCCAGATCCTTCCCAACGAATCATCTTCGTGTCCATTTAACAATTTAATTCTCCCGACAATATCGCAGAGTGCTCCGCAACGAGGGGAGGGGGAGAGGAGGGGAAAAATTCAATTTTCATAAAAATTTTCACGTTCAATAAAACGTGTACGCGGCCCACGGAGAAACGACGATCGTGTATTACGATGGCCGAGACGTTGGCGACGTCTCGTCGGGACATCGTCGATGCTTTTTGTCACCGGTGCAGCGCGAAACACAAAGCAATAAGACGAACGACGAAGACTAGATTTGATCAGGACTCAGCCGAAGCCATTAGGACTCTGTACGCCAGAGATCCATTCTCGTTTCAACCTTTCGAGTAACGAGTAACAAGCAACCTCTTGGCTCTCCGGGCGCCGTTTCATTTCATTCGGGGTTTATTCGAGCAAAATACTCGAGGAGAAATGGAAAAGACGGAGAGTGGCCGTCGCTGCGAAATAAACGGCAATAACGATCGAATCTCGGCACGTTACCGTTCGCGATATCTTTATTTTTATCCTTTGCCTTCTCTCGTAGCTTTCGTTCGCGGGCAAATCGGTTAAAGGATTACAAATCCCCGTTGACCTACAAAACGAAACGGCAATCTCGACGTTGGAAAGGACTCTCGATCCAGACACAGAGACCCGTTTCAACGTGGACCCCGTTTACCCCGTTTGAACCGATTAAAAAGCGAAAAAACACGCGACGCAGAACGGAGATAACAAATGGGGGAGGAGAAAAAGGAGATGAAACAGAGGGGCACGAGTTGCAGGTGAAAGAATAAAAAAGGAATAGTTGTGAACATCGGTAACGCGTTCACTGCGCGAACCACCACCACCACCACCACCATCGCCGAAAGCTTCGGCTGGACTGTAATGGCCGTGGAAGGGTTAATGGGCTTACCGAAAATTGATGATGGCTGTACAGAGTCGCATGAAATACGCGCACCACCAACTTTTTCCCTCGGCCAGCCACGGCTTACTACCCTATACACACCCTTACTACCCTCAGCAGCTACCCGTTCTCTTTTTCTCCTCGACCGACCGTGATTTTTCCTCGAAATGTTTGCAACGCCGTGCGCTTGCAACCCTACCACTATACGCGACCACCTTCCTTCCTTCCTTCCTTCCTTCCTTCCTGCCTTCTTTCTTTCTTTCGCGCTCTTCGCTCGCTCCTGCTTCAACGTCGACTCGCACCATCGTGAGAATTGATCGACCGTTTCCCCGCAGCCGATATCGAGCTCAAGCGAGCGACGAAAAGATTTTCACTCACTCGGGGAAAATTTTCAGTCGGGATCGATGCGTTTTAACGGAAACACCTTTTCGTTTAACGACAACGAGGCGTATTATCGGGCGGTTACGCCGCTCGAAAGTAGTAAAGACGTGTCATTGATCAGACAGAACGGATGGATATATTATTAGAAACGAGTGCGTATTTATTTCTGTTCGCAGGTTCGAGACGAAATGGCGGCGGACGGCGTCGAACCACTGGAGGAAGAAATTCCGCACGAGGATATAATCGGTCGTGATTACTGTCGTTACAGCGTGAAGCGACTGATGGCTCCTTAGCCACATACGGCAGACAACTACGAGGACAGTCGAAGATGGAAGGGAGGCGAAAAGCAGTGGAAGAATAGCGTAACGAATCGGACGATCATCGCGGCAGCATAGAAGAGAGATTCTCCTCGAAAGCATCGCACACAGTTCCGTGAATGATGCGCTCGCGCCGACTCCGAACGACTCGAGCTCCTCGGAAGGCTCTTCTCTCCTTCCTCGAAGATCTCCTTTTCCCCGCGTCATCCGTGATTCTTGGCCGCGAACGTAAGTAGATAGGCAAACTCGATTTCCTTGGGAAATTCGCGAGGCGCGAGTGGTGTTCGTGGACAAGATAGAAAACCGATAAAAAAGGACAGAGGAGCTCGATCGCGCGATCAACGCGTTTCTTCCTTTACAAGTACGTGTCTTTATTATAGATGGACGAGCGTATCCACGACTTTCAAAGACCAAGACACGCGTTCGCGCGTGTCGAACGTTTAAGAATTTAAGGTCAGCCGTAATCGATGTGTTTGATTTGCACTCAGCGATTGTTCTTTTTTTTTTTCTTTTTTTTTTTTTTTTTTTTTTTGTCAATGTTTCTTTTACTTGTATATATTATATAAATATATAAAAAAAGGTGTATGTGAGCAGAGGTATCATTTAGATCGAATCAGTAACAATCGTTATCATCGCAACAGGGACGAGATAACTAGAGGAATTATATATTTGTTGTCGTCGTCTTCCAAGTTCTTCGATCTCTTATCCAAAGTTAAAGTTCTATTCTAGAGTACTTCCCTTATAATTTATAACAGTGACTCTGATTTGAGAATATGCACCAGGAAGAACTTAGTCGCGTTGCGTCAGATATTAGTTCATTCTTTTCCTCCGAGGCCTTTCAACAACCAACGATAAGACGATGATTTTATCAGATACAAGTTTGTGCGATCAAAAATAGAATTGCAGCCAAGGTGGTGAGATGAAAAACACGTTTATATCAACAGGAATGGAACGAACAAAGTTATTTTACGGACAAATTATAAATGCCTTGCGTTTCTCATCGCATGTTCGTTATTAAACCGTACTAGCAATAATCTTGTTACATAACGAAATCTCAAGATCAGCTGATACATTTCGTAAACAGTCTGTCAAAACTGTTGGAGTTTATCTTAACACCGTACCTTTCTCTTTGTAGCAATCGTAGGAACGATACCATGTTTTTGTTTCTTTTTTTTTATATTTATCGACTAACCAAATCTTAGTACATGATATTATATACATACTTAACAGAACGAAGAATAATATGTATAGTTTTATATTAAAAAAAAAAAATGATGTAACGTAGTAAATAAACGCGTCGAGTCAAGCGGACCGGTTAAGTTTTTTCTAAATGTCTATTCGCGTGAAAATTTCTTTTCTCATCTGACTTTTCGCGCGTTTCCATTGACGAGAGAAGGTTGGTGGTGAAGTCCGTTGTGTCCGTCCATTATTATCAAATGTTCGGCTTCACTATGAGAAAAAGCTTGGTCGTTAATCACGAGTTAAAGCTATTGATAAAAGCCGCCGTTGTCTTCCTTCTGCAATGAGAATAGAAAACTCGGTGTTGCCCGTTGGTTCTCACCGTCGAATCGACGTCAAACACGTGTACGTGTATTTGTCTGTTCGTCAACGTTCTGACTCACTCCTTTCTTTATCAATGGCTTTAATCGTCGGCACAAATCTTTCTCTCGTTGCTTGTACGTCGTGATGTCGCATGTGTCCTCTGTGTACATCGATGTGAATATGCTTGTACAAATACACGAAGGGAAACGCCGAGGTATAAGAATCGTTGAATTTCGCGCATTCCCCTCCTACGACTCGCGTCAGATAAGACTGGAATATCGAAGCGAGCTCTACGTACGACGACGATCAAAATCACTTGTACGATCTGACAATGAGAGAGTGTGTGAGAGAGAAAGAGAAAAGAATGTAGCTTATTTCCTGTTATCCGTACTACGAACGCAGAGAAATTTCGATGATTTATATCAAATCTCGAGCGAGATTTCTCGGCTCGACGTGGGCAAGCGTGTTGTTGCCTTAGACAGATGAATAATTCAATATTTTGGTAAATTGATATATTCTTCTATATCTTTACATTTCTAAATTATAGATTCGCTAGAACTGCGAAATTAGAATATAGAAAAAGAAAATGTATGTCTTCCAAGTGAGGAGAGATAGCTCGAGTCTACGTCGAGCCTTAGCTTCAAAGTGAATTCCCATTTTTCCAGATTTTCTCCTTCTAAGAGAAAGCTATTACATTCCTTTTTCGTCAAGAAACTTCGTCGTCGTCTCTGATAACCGACACACGCATGATATATACGAACGGTCGATTTATCGTCGGAAACTCGGAACAATAGGCTCGACATTAGGCTCCTGCAATTTGCTCGTTAAAGTGAGTCTTCCGGCATCGTGATAATCGAGGAGAAAGTAAAAAGACGCGAAGCGAGGTCTGTAACGACAAACGTTATCACGTATCAGCTTCCTTATTGCGCCGATGTTGTTTCGTGGTAACGTCGCGGCACAGGCGATTATTGATTTATTTTTGAACGGCCGGATTATTTATACGCAGAAATCAATGGTTCGACCATGTACGATGCTAAAGTAAACGCGAGGGAAGGAGGCAACATGTTCAACGACGCTTACAAATCGAATCTCGAAATTCTCTTCTTCAATCTCACTTTAGTGTGTGGCTATTCTAATAATGCGCCGCAACGATCGATCATCGTCCGAGCAATCTCTACGAAACTGTGAAATGAAAAAGCGAAGTGTCCACGACCGGACACTTTGCAATTGATAATTAAAAACACGATGCACGATCTGCGTAATCCACGTTCTGGAACTCTACGCTTGTCGGACGAGGCGAAATCTTTTCTCTCCTTTTCTTTTTTTTCTTTTTAAATTCTTTTATTTGTCTTGTGTCCACGGGATGGGGATTGCGATCCGTCCAATATTTTGTTGCACTGTAATTTATGTACATCGTTTGATTAATAAATATACTCGGTTACATATTGTACTCGTCTTTATATATTGATTGAAAAAAAATTATACATTATTCTCTTTTTTTTTTTTGTTTTTTTGTTTTTTTCTTTTGGTAATTTTTCGTCGGTACTTTCACTGTGGCCCCGTTGCATTTGCTTAGAGTGTGCTTCTTAATGTGATCGTCCATTAAGAAAGTGTTCAGTGATTTCGTGCGCCGAGAATGTTGGGGTAAGTGCGTTTAGTTGTCTGTAAAATCACGTTATTCGAACATTATTCACTGGGTTATGTTATCTGTTGTTAAATTAAATTGCAGACGAATCTGCCGAGGAAACCAAGTCCATCGGCAGCAACAAAATAAAATTCGCCGTCGATTACGAAATGAATGGTAACGAGGAGGAGCTATCTATCGACGAGTCAGCGACCAATGATCAAAAATTGAAGCCGAACGAATTGACGGAGGTGGTTCAAGTCCATCCGCCGCCTTCAGACACGAATGACGGAATTTCCCCGGAAACGCCAACACCGTCAACACCAACACCATCGTTAACTACGTCCTCGGCACCACCTCCACCTCCGCCACCCCCTCTAGACACTCAGATATCCGTTTCTTCGATTACTTCGACCATGTCGACTGTTACATTGAAGAGTAATCATTCAATTAGCGGTAATGGACACATTTCTGTAACGCGCAATACACTTTAATGCGCTGTGCTATCGTTTTGCCTTTTAGGGAAAAACAACGAGAAGCAAGTGCAAGAGGAATTGAAACAAGTGTTGACGATATTCCGCGAGAAGAAACAGCACTACGGTATAAATCGCGAACCACTCTTGGACCACTGTTCCACGCCCAGAGAAGTGCAACGTTGGTTGTCGGCCAAAAGATTTTCAGAGAAGTATGTGAGAAGATTGTTATATATATTTGGCAGTGGCAGAGTTCGACGGCACGTAGACTTAAGCACAATATGATTTTCCAGAACTTGTAAACAGTTGAGAGACATGACTGGTTCGGAGGTGTTCAACTTGACTAGAAGACAATTGGAACAATATTGCGGTGTCGCGGAAGGCAGCAAACTCTACAGCGAAATTTCAACAGCACGAATTGAAAGCGAGGTGAGTTACGTGAGTCAAGGATATTTGAAATGTGGAAGTCGAGTTTCTTCCTATTTGCAGAAGAGTCCACGAATGTCAGAACTGAAGCAGATATTGGCGAAAGCTCGACACAGAGTTGAAGAATAACGACGAATCGTTCTCTACCAAATACTCCATAGAAGTATACAATAAGAATTGTACATATCTTTCAAGTGTATGTGTTGACATCCAAATCAAGAAATGTAACATCAAATTACATTTAGCATAGAGTTTTCTTTCGTGAAATTCTGCGATGGCATACGATTATGAGGAATTATCAGCAATATGTCACGTACGCCGGTAAATACTTGAGTATTTTTTTACAAACCAAATACTTAACTGACGATGATATTCTTTATTTCATTTTCTATGATATGTTGACATATCCCATTAATGATAAAAACAATAATCCATGAGAAAGGCCATACGTGTATATTATAAGCAACAAAGTGATATTTCCATTAACAGGAAATTAAAAACCTTAGTTTATTGATGTCAAGTTTTTATTTCAAGCGATCACATACATTGTAACAGACATAAATAGGTACTCTAGCTGTATCATTTATTATATCGATAAACTATACATTTCTTTCGAATACTCGACTCGAGGTCACGCAACGTGAACACATTGATAATTATATTTCTTTCTTTTCTTTTTTTCGTTTATAAAGATAAATCTGTTGTAATAAAGCCCTTGCAATATTTCTCATATTTAAATGACAAATTTCCGTACAAACTTTCATAGCGAATTGGAATACAATAATTCACCTACCAAGTGCGGTTTTGTAAAAAAAAACTTTTCACTAGAAAACAAAGAAACGATAGTTATCATCGACGTGACATGCACGATAACGATGTTACGAACGACATAATAACCCGTTTAATAGTCTACAAACTGTAAAAATTAATGTGGAGACGATGCTTTCCATTAAATTGTACGATACATTGAACGAAGTGAAATCGTTTCTCAGTTATTATTCAGACTCCAAGCAGTCTTACGTAATCACATACATTCAGCTGTATAATTATTATTTGATGACAAAACGATACATTTCGAGACATATAAACAGAATCCTCCTAATAGAATTGTTTTGCTAAAATAATTGCAACGTATAGTCTGCAGATGTCTACCATAAATCGTTTGAAAGTACATTTGAAACGTATTGCTTTCTGTGATCCCTAATATGCGTGTATATATAGAAACTCTTACAAACGTCTGCGAAATTTCGATACAAAATCTACGTTGAAAAAACACCCAGGCATCATTGTCTTCGATGCGGTCTAATTGTAAGTTTCGCCCTAAAAAAATGCGCCCCGAGATTAATCGCGATACAGTTTCCTTTTATAACTGTTACCAATGATACCAAACATTTTGGTCATTTACGAGTAGCTCAGAAAAGCCTCTTATAGTCGTAAAAATTTTCGAGTTCATCCACCTTTACACGACAGTAATTACGTAATGAATATTTATTATGCGACGATTATTATTGTTTAGTATCATTTTCCCTTAACGTTACTATTATTGTTAACTTTACTTTCGTAGACGTGCGTGTCTCGAGGATTTGATAAATGTAACACTGAATACTTTTTCATTGACAGAGTTTTCTTTAAGAAGAAAAAAAAAGAAGGAAAAAAAGAGAGAGAGAAAGAAAGGACGAGCGATCCTTGTAACGTGTTAAAATTCGGAATGTAGGACTTATGGTATTAATGATGTTTTTCTTTCTCACTGTGTAACGTGCGACTCGACTGATGAAATTAAATAGTAATAAATGACTTCATACAAATATACTTCTCATTTCACGTGGAATTTTCGTAAACGATAATCATAAGCGAACAAGTGTGCGTTCTTGTCAAGTACATCACATTAACGTATTCCTGTTCTCCGGCACAAAGTTGTTAATTTGTGATCTTAGCGTCTCTGTCTCTGTGTGATCTATTTACGAATAGTTGTGCGCATTTTCATGTTCAAGCTCTCATCGTTAAACATTGAAATTCCTGTATCCCTCGAAACAGAAAGAGCCTCCTAATGCCAAACGTTTGATTGCAAAGCCTGTTTCAATGTTCAATCGCAAGTACGGTGATCACTTTATCGTCCGAGCTGTTCTAAACCCACATATATTCCACGACTATAGTAAAAATACAGTGGAAAAGATTCAAAAGACGTCTTCCGTTTCTCGTTTCTCAACCATTTTTACTAACTTACAGACATCGTCTTCCTTTTTTATATTACGATGTATATCGATATCCGACGAATGTTCAAATGTAACTCTGCATATAGTTTATAACACGTTCACCTTTTTTTTTACGCAAACTAACAACTTCAAGTTTCTCGGATCGTTAAATTAAGAGTACTTCAATATTTACACTCGTTACATAATTAACAATATAATTATCCCGAAACGTAACGCTAGACTGTGACAGACAAACAGAACAATCGTGGTTTAATCGTGGAGTGAACTCTTAAAAATTAATGGTACGGTGTTTTCGATTCGGCTACGGCTAACGATAGCATATAAAATATATAATATTAATATATTATGCTCGTGAGAGTCTGCATGCGCCAGAGTAATCTTGATTACATGAGAGTGAAACAATCCTTACGTGTGGTATGTAATGATTCACGTCATCGTCAATGATGAAGATCTGACGATGATCATTGTTCACCGGATGTTGTCTATATATATATATATAAATTAGTAAACGATACAAAACCAAAGTAACAACTGATTAACAACCATGTAAAATGTACAACTTGTGAATCGAAGGCCAATAATCGTTCATTAATGATCGACGACGCGTCGTTAACGAACTTTACTAAATATCTAGGGTATTTCCGGTTGCGTAAAATGGCTCTGAATATGCGAATACTTTTCTTTGTTCGGAATAATATATATATATATAGTTACGCAATAAATAAGTCGCTCGTAAGTTCGACCTTGGAATTGTCAGAAATACGCACGTTAGATGATTTCCTGCAAATCTTCCTCCTCTTTTACAAAGTCACCGAGAAGAGAGTAGGAAGAGTAATTTCCAATTCTCGCGTGTCGCTGTGAAAACGTACATAAATTCGACGAGCACACGTGTGCCGTTAAACCGGCACGTAATTCCGTTATTCCGTGCACTACGTAATGAAACAGCACACAGTTGTTATTACAAACAAACGAGATGAGCTGGCAAAACTGCCGACAAAGGTGCCGGAGACGGGACGGCAGAGTGAACCTTCGGTCGATTAAAAAACTCAAACTCGGATAAATAAATGATAATGTTGTATTGCACATGAGGGGTGAAGTCGACGAATGCGAGTCCAAGTGCGAACGACACGGAAAACGCGTGAACGATCCAAGGTCAAAGATTGAAGCATACAAGTACACACAGAGAGAGAAAGAGAGAGAGAGAGCGGGCAATAATGAAGCGATAATGAAGCGAAAGATAGTGCGATGCATGAAAATATGAACTCTACTGACCGATGGCATCCGAGTCCTCCTTTGATGGAACAGACCTTGATCGATTCAGAACGTATATATATATATGTATCAATTGAAAACGAAACTTATCGTTAATTGTTAAGTGAATAGCGAACCTGAAAGCGGGTCTGATGGAAACAGAAAAACTCTGACGTAAGAACGACAAATGGGGGGGGGGGGGGAGAAGAAAATAGAATGGAGCTGTGTTTTCGTGTACGTGAATAGAATGAAAGAAGAAGGATTTTCGCCCCTAGTTTCTCTGTAAGGGTAAATCCCTATATGCAAAGCAGACCTTGAGACTCTGTCTCTCATAAATTACCAAAAGCCTCCTGCGCTGCGACCACCGGGTGGATTGTTCACGCGGATGCAAGCTCTTCTTGCTTCCTCGACGTCCTCTGTGAACGTACAACAATTCTTTTAATTGTCTGTTTTCTATTCATTTGGAAAGATTTAAAAAGAAAGAAAGAAAGAAAGAAAAGAAAACTTTTCCCTGTCGCTTACCGCTGATGGAGAAAGTGGAGTCCTGCAGGTTTCTCTGTCCCTCCATTCGCGGACCTTTCGACGACGGCGTGATGACCGCGGAATCTGGCAATGTCGGCATGCAATCGGGCATCGAAATCTTCGGTTTCGGGCTCTCGTAAGTGCCGTTCGTCTGGCGACTCTTCGCGAGAGCCGCCGCTCTCGCTTCCTCTTTGGCTTTCGCAATGGCAGCGTCCTCCTCGGCGTGTTTCTTCGCCTCGGCTTCCGTTCGCGCCACTCCGCGTGGTCTCTGCGCAAACGGTATCCCGGAACGGTGATAAGAAATCGATTTGTCGACTGTTAGAGGCAACTTGTTTGCCTTCAACAACGTTACCTCGCAGCGTCCCGCGTCAACTGACTGTAATAAAAAAAAGAACGTACCTTTTCTCTGTCTTCTATCAGACAGTAGACGTAATCAATGTTGTGGCTCGGTGTCTCGACAAACTTTCCAAATCCGTGAACAGCCTTCAGCTCGCACTCGTCCACGCAGACACGGCCCTCGACTATAACGTACTCCGGTACTCCGTGAACCTCCATACCCTGAAGTAACGTCAAACTTCAATTCAATTTTACGAAAAAAGGAAGGAGAAAAGGAACAACAAAGAATTGAACAAAATAAAGGGTCGATCGTATTTTCTTCATCACTCGTAACGACGCCCAGCCTTCTGATTGAACTTCCTGGCGGCACGCTGTGGGTTGACGAGATAAATGGAAAATAAAATGAAATCCTGCGACGCGTGCACGCAACGACATTGCGGCAACAAAGACTCTGTTAAAGCTTTAATATCGGTCATCCCTTTACCTCGAAGATGTTGAAGTCAACGGCCTGGACGTGCGTCTGAGCGGAAATCGTACGCTTCCTGTTGGGGTCCCAGACGACAATATCGGCGTCTGAGCCGACCGCTATCACTCCCTTTCGCGGATACAAGTTGAAGATCTTGGCGGCGTTGGTACTGGTCACTGCGACGAACCTCGTCGGGTCCATTATACCTGCGTGGACCCCCTTCTCCCAAACCACCGACATCCGATCTTCAACGCCGTTCACGCCGTTAGGGATCTTCGAGAAGTCATCCTTGCCCAGTGCCTTCTGCTCGGCGTTGAACGTGCAATTGTCGCTGCCAGTAACTTGGAGGCCATCTCTGACAAAACGAAGAACTGAGTGGAATAGTTTGTAAAATCGAATGAACTATTTTAACTCGGGAAGATTAAAAAAAAAAAAAAAGAAAAGAAAAAAGAAAATAGAACGCGTTGGAAAAGATTGTATAAAATCGCAGGTTACCTTGACATCTGACAAGCTAGAATAATTTTTCTCTAAACGTGCGAGGCACACGCGTCCCGAGGTGTCGAGATATACGATCGATTTTAGTTAGCAAATTGGTAAAATTGAATGCTGACCGTAGAATGATATTTAAACGAGTTTTCCTCTGCGCGTTTAATTAAGTTTAATATACCAGCAGCGAGATGAAACAGACTTCCCACGCGGTGTCTATTAAAATTACGTTCAGTTAGGCTCATATCGTGCGTGCCAATTTGTTGCTATAATTTATTACTGTCATTTGAATGCTCGTGCAATTTCCAGACGTTGCACCGGACATAACGTAACGTAAGCGTGAAAATTGTTTTATCTCGTTGTTTCAATTTGCCTCTATTGAATCTCCATACAGAAACGAGCTGTTTATCAGCCTGAAATTTGGAAGTACTCGAGAAGCACTCGAAACGAGATAAAAAAAACAATTGGATACAATTGGATAGAACTCTACTTTGCTACACCTTCTACTTCGTTGGTTGCCTCTTACGATTGAAGGATCTGCCGATTACGCTAGTACTAGACCACTTGAAATCTCGAAAAATGAACGACGACGAAGTGGATGGAACATCGATCTCTTCAAGTATGCGATCGAATCTTCAACTTAACATCGAATTGAAATATTTCCGAGATTTCCCATCGATGCGCCATTTCACTTCGATTTCGCGAGTTCACTGGTTCGCGGACCTTAACGAGTGACCGAACCGTATACAATAATTCGTCGCTTTCTTTTTCTTTTGAACTACGTCGTCGGTGTGATATCACTGGATGGAAATAATCAAGAAGTAATCATTACTTATCATTCGTTTCGCCTGGGTTACATTCAAATATACTTAAAACCGAGAGAATGTTGCAATTTGGGACAAAAATAATTCTCGACGTGCATGGCACGTGATTCCAGCACAAAAGGTTAAATTGATCGAAAGAATTCTGTCGCTAGATTTTCCAACAGTGTACAAATTAACAGAAATATCACAGAATAAAATGTTTTAAAAACTTTTTTAAAACTTTAAAAATCTTGTATTATACGTAATTAAATTAAATTAATTAAATTAAAATTGATACGTTCGCAGTAACATGATCTGTTTGCAAAGTACGATTAAATACAATAATTATTTGCGTGTGAAAGATCACCTGAACTGTGAAACCTATTGATTAACCCCTTGCGCGTTGGCAACTAATTCGCGGACCATAACGAGTGACCGAACCGTATACAATAATTCGCCGCTTTCTTTTTCTTTTGAACTCGTTGGTATGATATCACTGGATGGAAATTATCAATCAACTTATCATTCGTTTCGCCTGGGTTACATTTAAATATACTTAAAACCGAGAGAATGTTGCAATTTGGGACAAAAATAATTCTCGTCGTGCGTGGCACGTGATTCCAGCACAAAAAGTTAAATTGATCGAAAGAATTCTGTCGCTAGATTTTCCAACAGTGTACAAATTAACAAAAATATCACAGAATAAAATGTTTTAAAAAATTTTTTAAAACTTAAAAAATCTTGTATTATACGTAATTAAATTAAATTAATTAAATTAAAATTGATACGTTCGCAGTAACATGATTTGTTCGCAAAGTACGATTAAATACAATAATTATTTGCGTGTGAAAGATCACCTGAACTGTGAAACCTATTGATTAACCCCTTGCGCGTTGGCAACTAATTCGCGGACCATAACGAGTGACCGAACCGTATACAATAATTCGTCGCTTTCTTTTTCTTTTGAACTCGTTGGTATGATATCACTGGATGGAAATTATCAAGAAGTAATCAACTTATCATTCGTTTCGCCTGGGTTACATTCAAATATACTTAAAATCGAGAGAATGTTGCAATTTGGGACAAAAATAATTCTCGACGTGCGTGGCACGTGATTCCAGCGCAAGAGGTTAACGCCGGAAAATTTAACTGTTTCGATTACTTACTGCGCCAGATGTTCGATTAGATACGTAGGTGTGGTTGAATCGGGTCTCAATGGTGGACTAGTGACATAACGCCTCCCTTTCTCGATATCTTTCCCGTACTGTTCGCTACCATCGATACCCACGGTACTTGCGAGAGTCTCCCCGAACAGGACGACACCATCCGACCTTTTCGAGGACACAACGTCAGCGGCGGACTTGCTTGATACTGCCGTTACGTACAGCGGACAATTCACCTAAACCGCGTTCACTCCTGACATTAATCTCATTAGCCGAAAGGCGTGATCACAGCGGAACAACGATCTCACAAGTTGCGTACATACATATAAAATGTGAGTGAACATCGTCTTCGATTTGTTATCTCCTTTCAAAGGGAACAATTTCTTTCAGCCGTGTTCACGATACCGTGTCTAACTACAATTTCGAGACAAGCTTGAGTCGAGCTAGACGTTGAGAGGGAATCGTGCCAGGTGTAACAACAACGTGATTCCAGTGCATTGCAAGGAAAAACAGGGGAGGAGGAGGAGGAAGTAAAATCGAAACTACAGTTACGATCAACGTGCATGCACAAGAATTTTCGACGGTACGTCCAAGTGTAATTTGCCGCATGCAACATCGACGAGCTATAATTGTACTTCAATGCTCGGTTGCATCCTAGAAACGCGTTTACGCTGTCGCAACATCTCCGATCGCGATGAAAAATAACCCCCCCCCCCCTCCCCTGGACTTGGGTGGTTTCGGTGTTTCGTGTATCAAGTTCGTAGATTTGCAACAGACTTCGCGAGGTTTCGCGAGACGAGAGACCGCTCGCGACTTATTCGATTAGGTTCCAAGTAGGCCTGTGGGTAGGTCTTAATCGAGGCCATTCCGAGCACGCGAAACCACCCTGAAATCTTGGTATCCGAGGTAGTAGGTTTGTAGGACTTCAGCAGGCTTGGACGTTAAATTGTAATTTCCGTCAATATGCAATTTCATAGAAATGTCATGCCTCGTAATTCCTATCTCCTTAATTCGTTTCTTTCAAATGGTACAGTTGGACTGCACTGCTAATATTACCATTCTAAATTACATTTAGCGTTGCTACTCGAATCATTTCTCGGTCAGCGAAAGATTAATTTTCTCGAAATTAAAAGTGTGCTTGCCACCAAGTTTCCCTACGTTGCTTTCCTCGTTCACTCGTGAAGTGAAATGAAATGTATGAAAGACTGCGTGTAACTGATAATAATAATATCACGTGATGAGTATACTATATATTCTGGATGTCAAAGTCACCCTATTCTGAGGCTCACGGTGGCTTCGACTCACTTGGCCAACATATTCAGCAAGACGCAAGGTGTATCTGGGTCTGGTCTGAGAGGTGGGCTCAAAACGTGCGCTGCAGCGTGTTTCCAGCATTTGTGCGTGTAGTTGGTACCATCTGTGCCAATTGCGGCTGCCAAGGTCTCGCCGAAGACGCAAGCACCGCGTCTTCGCGCAGCATCCACCGCTGCTGCGGCGCTACGACTCATCACATGCACTATATACAGTGGACAATTGACCTAAGCATGCAGAATTTTGAACGTTTTTATGCTTTAACATCATCTTCTCTCGAGGATCAAACTGTCTTTCACCACAATGAAATCTTGTAAATTTTTAAAAAGTATCTTCTTCTTTGAATGAATGAGAGCACAGTGCAACATTATTACAATTTTCAATGACACAGTTCTATCTTTAACTAAAACTAAACTGAAATAAAAATATCATTCGTTTCAAAGTAAAATTAGAGAGGTATGTTCATTGTAAATTTTTAAAAAGTATCTTCTTTGAACGAATGAGATCACAGTGCAATATTATTACATTTTACTATGTCAATTTTCAATGACACAGTTCTATCTTTAACTAAAACTGAACTGAAATAAAAATATCATTCGTTTCAAAGCAAAATTAAGGGGGCTGGTTCATTGTAAATTTTTAAAAAGTATCTTCTTCTTTGAATGAATGAGAGCACAGTGCAACATTATTACAATTTTCAATGACACAGTTCTATCTTTAACTAAAACTAAACTGAAATAAAAATATCATTCGTTTCAAAGTAAAATTAGAGGGGTATGTTCATTGTAAATTTTTAAAAAGTATCTTTTTTGAACGAATGAGATCACAGTGCAATATTGATACATTTTACTACAATTTTCCATGACACAGTTCTATCTTTAACTAAAACTGAACTGAAATAAAAATATCATTCGTTTCAAAGCAAAATTAAGGGGGCTGGTACGTTCATTGTAAATTTTTAAAAAGTATCTTCTTCTTTGAATGAATGAGATCACAGTGCAATATTGATACATTTTACTACAATTTTCCATGACACAGTTCTATCTTTAACTAAAACTGAACTGAAATAAAAATATCATTCGTTTCAAAGCAAAAGTAGGAGGAGGGTGGTACGTTCATCGATAAACATCCATTCAAGGTATTACTACGACACATTGATTCTCAAAGTGGCGGTGCTTGAGACAATAAACGAGCATACTGTACAAATATAAGATGGACCTTTAAAAATAAAGTCCACTCCAGATTCGTCGCCCTTACCTGACTAGCTATAACGCACGCTCTATTCACAGCCTCCGCTTCCACTTCCTCCGGTCGAGACATTTCGTGACCTTCCGGCCCCGTGACTCCTGCATCGAGCAGCCGCTTCGTGTTCTAAAACAATTCCAAAATGATCTTGCCTAAATTTATGAGTGAATTCGTGACTGTGAACTCGTGTGTCGCGAACTATTTTCGTCGGCCGACTAGACTGCCAATCACGGTGCACAGTCGTCGGAAACGACGTTTTTCCAACACGTTTCCACGTTTCTCACTCGCTTCAAGGACAACCGTAACGCTCGTAAATCGTCGTAAATCACCTACCTCCGCAATAATGTCGCCATTTTCCGCGTGAACCATGGCGATCGCGCCGAGTTCCTTGCACGCTTTGAACGTCTCGATCAATTCCGGGTCCCTCAGCATGAACATGTCGTGATAAGCCATGAACATTTTGAAGCTACCGATACCGTGCTCCTTCACCAACGTGGCCATCTCCTCTTTCACCTGCAACGTGAATCGAAATCAGCACGAGGAGTACGAGCGAGCGTGAAACGGAATAGAATCGCTTCGAAGGGGAACAACAGGCGTTGCTCGCAACGGAACAAAAGTCACCGCGAACGGACGGACAAGGAGCCCGGACAAGCGCCAGCAAATAAGGAGCACGACGATTTACATGCGTCCGTAACGCGGTCCGTTTGCGATTTCCTCGCCGTTCGCTCGGTATTCCATTCACGATCGCGATTACAGTTACCAAGCCGGCGAGACTACAGCGAGCTGCAGCTACCAGATTCGTACGATTTGCCAATTTGCCGCGCGATCGGTTTCGCCATATTTAGGAACAAGCTAGAGCGGCCACTCGTCGCCCGTTTGTCGTCAAGCCGATTTACGCCGATTCGCATTAACGCTCGCTCCTGAGCTATTTGTTCGGCTCGAAACAACGATTGAAGCTTGCCAATGGATTCGCAATTTTCCAGCAGATCTTCCTGCCGATCCCCGTGTCCCATCGATTTTGTCCGACAAAAGAAAAAGAAAAAAACGATCGAGAGAGAGAGAGAGAGAGAGAGAGAAGTAACGCGCGTTAAGCGTAACACGCTCGCTGGCAATTTCCGACGATCATCGGATGGATTACGTAAATTCTATTTGCGATCTGAATACCGCTTGTCAACATTACGTTTGCCTCGCAATAACAACGGACTGTGTTTAACTTCGTGGAAAGATGCCGGTGAAGATGAAGATGAAGGGCCCCGGCAGAGAAAGAGGTCGTGACATCGGTGGCTTTCTTTTCCACGAACGTCTCTCGTATTACTCATAATTATCTCATTCTGGGGGCAAGGCAACTGTTAAATAGAATAGAAAACGCGTGCGAACTGTATTATACTGTCTCCGCTTGATCCAGCTGTCAGATCTTGCCGTTCCAATCTCCTGACAACTCGTGTCTCTTGGCAACCATGTACATGTAACGTATATAATTTGAAGACGAAACCGACTGGATCCTGTTTAGAGGCTCACTTTTGGACTCCAAGACGTGACAGCGACGTGGAGCGAATAATCGCAGCAGACTTTCTGGTCGGCGGACTCCCGGTATCTCTCGTACGCTTCCAAAAGGGACTCGTCCTTCCTGGGGATGACAAAGTCGATGATCATCGTCGTGCCACCGGCGACCGCCGCTTTCGTCCCCTGGTAGAAATCGTCGACCGATTTGGCGCCCATTAGCTCCACTTCGAAATGAGTGTGCGGATCTATGCCGCCAGGCATCACGTACTTCCCACGGGCGTCGATGGTTCTCGTGCCGCCCGGTATTATCAGATTGCGGCCCATTTGCCTAGAAATAGAACGTTCCCAATGTAAATGGAATTCGGCGGTAGCGAACGATCAACACTGTCTCGGAAAGTGTGAGAAATATGTATTATTTGTTACAACGATCGTTGCTGAAAGTTTTATAATTTAAATTATAATATAAATATAATTTATAATTTATGTAATTAATATAATTTATAATTTATGTAATTAATATAATTTATAATTTATATGATTAATATAATTTATAATTTATGTAATTAATATAATTTATAATTTATATGATTAACATAATTTATAATTTATAATTTATATGATTAATATAACTTATAATTTATATAATTTATATAATTAATATAGATTATAATTTTTATAATTAATATAATTTATATTATAATGTAAATAATTTCGTTGTTTCTGTAACAATCGAACCCATCAATACGATTAATTTCAGACTGTCAAAATTAACATTAATTTCTGTTTGGACAATTATAATTGTATTTATTTTGATTTTGACCATTTAAATTACAATGACTTACATGTAGAATATTTGGATGCGGTTGTTCCAGTGTTTATTTATAATTTTGAGAATAAATAGTGTTTATTTTAAAAGTAAAGTGTTAATAAATAGCGTTTATTTATAATTTTTCTAATGTTCATTTATAATTTTTATTAACCAACCAAAGTCAAGTGTATTATGTAAAAGTGTTAAACGTGTATGGCACGATCGACCAGTGTATTGAAAATTTTTTCTTTTTCCTTCGTTTTATTTTAAATGACTTTTAAGGATGATCACGAGAGTGCTCATTGACGATAGCGAAAGCAAAGAACGATATTTCATTTCTAAAAATACCGACTGTTGAACTGAAATCGTTCTTCCTCGAAAGAAAGATAACCAGTTCTTTCCTCTAAAGAAGCAGAGCAATGAGGCGAATCAATCGACAACCGCTGACCACTTACACGGTGGTGGCATAATTACGACTCTAAGTAATGAATACACGCGATATTACCTTCTTTCGCGTCACGCTTGCACGGCAAATCGTACCGCCCATCGCCACGTTATCTTTGCATATATTGCTCATTGATAAAACTGCCAGCGTTGTGTCGCGTTTCGCTTGTGTAAAGTAGCGAGCAAACATGCGAGTAGAATGCTGAATGAAGTGCACACTAGCAAATCTTTAAAAGTCTGTTTTGTTTGCTATCAGCTATAGATGTTCATCGTCCTTTTTTGACTTGCGTAACGATTCCGATCAGCGCCGAAGGAAGATACCGAACGAATGAATCAATTCTATTTCTATTATGAAATGTATATATATATTTTTTTTTATGATTAACACGTTGATTACCAAAAAGTATTACAAAATTTCTTGTCATAAAATGACATAAAATGAACATCGTCAAATTAAAGATATGTATATTTTTGCGATTAACACGTTGATTGCCATATTACTAAAAATATTAAGTACTACTAAATTTACTATTATTAAATTTATTAAATTTACTATTACTAAATTTACTAAATTTATTATTACTAAATTTACTATTACCAAAATTTATTAAATTTACTAAATTTATTATTGCTAAATTTACTAAATTTACTATTATTAAATTTACTAAATTTACTATTATTAAATTTACTAAATTTACTATTGCTAAATTTACTATTTCTAAATTTACTTAATTTACTATTATTAAATTTACTAATTTTACTATTATTAAACTTACTAAATTTACTATTGCTAAATTTACTAAATTTACTATTATTAAATGTACTATTACTAAATTTATTAAATTTACTATTACTAAATTTATTAAATTTATTATTACTAAATTTACTATTACTAAATTTACTAAATTTACTATTGCTAAATTTACTATTATTAAATTTACTAAATTTACTATTATTAAACTTACTAAATTTACTATTGCTAAATTTACTAAATTTACTATTAAATATTATTAAATTTACTATCAAGCATTACTAAATTTCTTCTCATAAAATGGCACAAAATGAACATCAAGTGTCAAATTAAAGATACTGACTGATTCGATACGAACGCATCTGGACTACAACTAAATTCTCAGCGGGGAACGTTTCGATTTCATCGTGATCTCCGTGAGCTCGGAGGATCGTATTAAAACTCTCGACGGCAGTCAGTGTGTTAATGACGTAATTACACGCGCGTGGAAACAAGCAGAGCAAACGTATAAAAATATATATATAAAACAACTCTTACTTAATGATACCGTCTTCGATGTAGACGTCGTTGTCCGTGATCCCATCGTCGTTCACCACCTTGCCGTTCTTAATCAACAGCCTGTTCTGCGCGCTCTGGAAACAGAACAGTCGGTGTATCGTTTTACGCAGATTTTTTTCCAAAACGTGACCGCAGCTCGTAACGATGGCCATTGAATGGTAACCTTTTGACGAGATTTTGCTGCACGTGTGTGTTATTCGCGTTTATAATGCACATATAATTAGCTGTTACTTCCTGTGGATGTGTAAATAAATTTACGCCCATAAGCTTCTCGCGCGAACAACGTGTCGCTCCTCCCAACAAATTATTACAAATGGCTATAAATGGGTTTTTCTGTGATCTTTCTATGATTAAAATCGTTGGCAATATGTAGTAATTTATAGATAGGGGGAGATAGATCTGTGCGTCAATTCTCCGGTTGACATCAAACTTTTATTTTATAGGTCACTCGTCCACTATATACCGCGTAGATGAAAATTTCCGACGTATGAACTATGCATTTGGATATCAATAGTCTTTGACAATATTAATACAACCAATTACGATGATATATTAATTAATAAGTGGCGCTCGGATATCTACGATCATACGCAATTTACCCACAGTATTTACAAATCTTGTACACCTGAACCTGTGCTGTTTTGAACAATCCTTATCACCTGTTATCGTATCTTCGATTCCAAATCGGCGATTGATAGAAAATTCAAACGCACATTCCACAAGTAACCGAGAAATATCTCAGCGTGTGAAACGATGATAAGCACATCCAAACAATCGAGCGAGTAGTGACATCGGCTGAAAGAAATCTTTGCACCGTGCGGAATTACTTCCTATTTCAGAGAGCAAACCCCCCCCCCATGCCCGCTGTTGTCCTTGATATTCGTTTGCAACGTGCGTCGGATCCGACGTCCGGTGCAGACGATTAACGTCCGTATATTGCCACCGCGCCATGGTATACCAATCAGTATATAATAGAAGTTACGCTTCACGCACTTCCGCCAATGCTAGATTTAGAGCAGCGTACGTACATATATAAACCGACGCGCCGCGACTGATAAGCGTCTTGTAGAATCCCGTGTTCCGTGATGCATCTTTCCGTACGAAGGAATAGGCACGAGGTTTCTCTCCTATCGCGTAAACGTTCTCGACACGGAAAACGCGCCGGTTTTTTTTCGCTGATCCACTTCGGCTGATATTACCATACAATCATAGTTTGGAAACCGTGCTCGCCGTATACGCACCATTTCCGCCTGCGAGTAAAGAAACACGGTCTCTTTTCACCGGTGTTTCTCGCACTGTCTCTTTCTCTCTTTCTCTCTCTCTCTCTTTCTTTTGTGCAAATAGCAACACAGCGTGTCTTTTTCACAGATTATTCCTTCGAAACAATGAGGAATCATCTTCGCGCGATTCCATTTTTCTTCGAGAAAAACTCGCACTTCTTCTTTTTTTTTCTTTTTATTCGTGCATTGATCGATGACACAGCTTTAGACGCGATAGGAAGAAAACAGTTACACGTGATTGTACTACTAGTTCATCGTATCTCTCGATTAATCGCGAGATTAATTCGTACATGTGTAACTTGTTGTATGTTTGTATTTCTTTTTTTTAAATTTGTAAATAAATTTCTGTTAATATATTCCGTTTCTCGTGGATAATAAAAACTCTCCGTGTGCGATCGTAATTTTCCACTCCTGCGCTACGTCTGGTGAAATTCGCCTTGGAAAATTCAGATCCCTGATCTGAACCAAGCAATCTTCAACTAGAACTATGTAGTATGTAATTTTTGTATTTTACAGACGTGAACACCGTGTGTTTTTAGAGATTTAAAGCAAAGATTTTTCGTAAAATATATAAATAAAAGCTTCATGATATATAAATAAAATATATCTTTTATTATATGAATATCATAATTAATATTATATTTTTTATTATACGAGTGAAATATATAAATAAAAGCTTATCTACTTCATGATATAAATAAAAGCTAAATAGATAAAATATATTTTTTACTATATGAATGTCATAATTGATATTATAATTTATTATATTTTTTATTATATGAGTAAAATATATAAACAAAAGTTTATCTACTTCATGACATAAATAAAAGCTATATAGATAAAATATATGAATAAAATATATTTTTTATCATCTGAGTAAGATATATAAATAAAAGCTTGTCTACTTCATGATATAAATAAAAGCTATATAGATAAAATATATGAATAAAATATATCTTTTATTATATGAATATCATAATTATATTTTTTATTATACGAGTAAAATATGTAAATAAAAGCTATATAGATAAAATATATGAATAAAATATATCTTTTATTATATAAATATCATAATTAATATTATACTTTTTATTATACGAGTAAAATATATAAATAAAAGCTTGTCTACGTCATGATATATAAATAAAAGCTATACAAATAAAATATATTTTTTATTATATGAATATCATAATTAACATCATGATTTATTATATTTTTTATTACACGAGTAAAATATATAAACAAAAGCTTGTCCATTCTTTTTTTCACTTTAACACATCTCCGATGGAAATTTCACGCGTTCGCAGTAGCGTTCCAGCTTTTCAGCGAATCGTCAGAGACTAGTGGTATCGAGTGGTTAAAGAAACAAAGATCCTGGCCTGACTTCATGCTCGTTGCGGTATAAAGACAAAACGTATAAATATTAGCGTGGATCTCGGTGGTGGAGCGGGTTGAAAGGAGACCCGGGGAGAGACGAGAGTCCAGAGTGGTTGCACAAAGGACTTTCGACAACCGCCCCTCAGGCCGTACCCACCGTCCGTGGAAAGATAAAGGCACATAGGGGAAGAAAGATCAGAGGGCCCGTAGGAGGGAAACATCGGGCGAAAAAAGGAGAGGAAAAAAAGGACAATCCGGCGCCACCCACGTTTCACAACCGTTTCACACACCGGGTACGCACCCTTCGCGCTTGCTAATGCAACGCTCACGCTGCAACAAACGCACCCTTCGCGCGAACCAGTGGGTCTCCGCCCCCCATAAAATCGCTTCGAGGCCCACCTCCCCCTCCTCCACCCCCCCCCCCTGTGTGAATTTAAACCACCGTGAACCGATGTGGCTTTCGTGAAATCGATCCCAATCTGCCCTCGCCCCCTCTAAACGTATGTAAGTGTCGCTGCAAGGTGTACTTTGTTAAATCGGATCTCACCAATCAAAAGGAAGGGTGGTTCGTGTTTATTGGAACTTTGGGAGGGTAGGGGAGCTGTTGAACGTTTGAATACAGTGTTTTCTTAAAGCCCTGTAATGATTGTAGCGGGTGTGCGTAAGAGAGTGGCAAGTACATCTGTTGGTTTTCTGATTCCGACACCAATTGATTTATGGCGAGAACACAGGGGAATTTTAGTGCAACGTAATTGGAAACGAAAGCAACTTGTTTGAGTTTGGCACGAAGATGTAGGTAAGTCTTTCGAAGGTAGCTAGGTTGACGAAAATTTTACGGAGGTCGAATGTATAATTATCAAGGCAAACAATTTTATTTCAACATTCTGAAGAGGAAGGTGTTTAGCTACGAAACCGAATAGAATGACGGTTTATTGAATGTAAAAAATGATCATTCTAACTATATTCTTCACTCATAGTCCACGAACGTTAAATTAATATAACACATATACTAAATTAATTAATATAGATTTTTATATTTATATAAAATGTTAATTATAATTTATATAAAATTTTTACATTCATATTTATACATGCATTGCGGAGTTTTCAGATGTTTCATTCGTCAGGACCAACTGTTTATCAGAAAACGCATCTATCCACTGTAACACGCGAAATGAGAAATGATGGGATAACCTTCGGTCTAAATGGATGGAAATGGAAATGGAAATGGAAATGGGAACGAATATCGAGAACTCGTTGGCGCAATTCACGTGGGCAGAGACCTTGTCATCCGCGCGGTGTAGTTATTAGACACGCGTGCGAACATGTGCGTTTCATGTGTTGGAGAATCTCTGCTTGGATATTTTCAGCAGGCGACCGCTTAAAAATACATTTACCCGTACGCCGGCTACGATTTTCGAGAAAAGAAATGCCACCGTCCACTTTCAGCCACGGTTTTAATACCCACTTCGCGTCACTCACCAGCTCGCTATGTACATACATATATCCACTGTGGTTCCACGCGAGTACTATAGAAGAGAATTTCCATTTTTCTACAGTGGAGCAATCTTTAAATTTAGTTACACACGCGAGTAACGCCAAAGTCAAGAAACATCACGTTTCCTTCCCCCCTCTCTGATCTTCACGTGGAATATTTTTATCTTGCACTATTCAAACATACTCAACGATCGCGTCTCAACAATTTCGGAGCCCGTTGGCTCTTCACGGTTCAATCTATCAAGTGCATGTCACGTACAGGTTACAAAACGGAGTTTCAACACGATCGTAATCAAACGCAACAAAGATGCGGATAGAATCGTTTGATAAAGAACGCGGACGACAGAACGTCGCGACGCAGTTTCTCTCTCTCTCTCTCTCTCTCTCTCTCTCTCCCTCCCCCATTTGCGGAAGCACGCTCCTGGTAAAATCGATATCTTCAGCATTTCCCGGCTACACGCCGCGGAGTTCGTCTGAACGCGGGCAAACATCGTTCGTCCAAACGCGAGATGTTATCAAACAGACGAGAGAGTCTAGTTCGAATCGAATCGCGCACGATCGAATCTTATCGCGTTTCCTTCTCTCGAATGTACATACAGGGTGGGTCGCTACACATTGCCATTTAAATTTACGTCATTGTTATTACATGTAGCGAAAAATGTTTCCGATAAAGTTTGAATGATTTCGAGGGGGGGTACATTTTGATGACACTAGTTTTCTCGTAGGCGGACGTGTAGAGGACATACGAAGCTCATTAACATTCTTTTAAATGGAATCATATGTTTTTTTATTGCATCAGTTGATACACCTTTACAAAAAAAAGTATTAACCTATTTGTGTTGAAAAAAATCATTTTCAGTTTAGGAGATATTTTTTAATTTCAATTTTGTAAAATTATCGCATGAAAGACATGGAAGACGAAGAATGGCATTCTTATGTTTATATTGTCTTTGTCTTTCGCGCATAGATTTTACAAAATTAAAATTAAATTGTCTCCTAAACTTTTTAACATAAATAGGTTAATATTTTTTGTAAATAAATATAATATAAATAAATAAATACATTAATAATATTATATAATAAATATAATAATAATATAATATAAATAAATAAGTACATTATTATATAATAAATATAAATAATTATATATATACACTATTATATAATAAATATAATATAAATAAATAAATACATTATTATATAATAAATATAAATAATTATATATATACATTATTATATAATAAATATAATATAAATAAATAAATACATTAATAATGTTATATAATAAATAAATACAATAATATAATATTATATGACAATATAAATATATTTATAAACAAATAAATATAATATAAAATTTATAAACAAATAAATATAATATAAAAATTTATTTATAAACAAATAAATATAATATAAAAATAATATTTATAAACAAATAAATATAATATAAAAATTTATTTATAAACAAATAAATATAATATAAAAATAATATAATATCATTTTATTATTTATAAACAAACAAATAAATTTAATATAAAAATAATATAATATTTATAATATATTATTTATAAACAAATAAATATAATATAAAAATAATATAATATCAAGGTGCATCAACTGATGCAATAAAAAAATATATGATTCATCATTTAAGAAAATGTTAATGACCTCTGCACATCCACCTACAAGAAAACTAGTATCATCAAAATGTACCCCCCCCTTCAACTTCGTTCTGAAACATTTCTCGCTACGCGTAATAATGACGTAAATCTAGATGGCAATACGTGGCGTGCCACCCTGTATAATAGGTAATATACATGTAGGTATTGTATATAACAGGTAAGATAAATCGTACTTGTATGACACGTACATATATGCGGTCGCGTGTTTATCTAGAAGACGTTGTCGCTCGGCTCGCCCGTTCCACTCGGCGTCTGGTCCAATTAGAAGGCGGTTTCTTCGTTTAATTGCTGTATCCAGCCGATTCGGCACGTTCGCCGCCGAGAAAAAGAATGATAATCGACCGCTTTCACGCGGGGAAAAGGATTTTTCCCCGGCGTTCTTAAGGAGCGAAACTCGCCGGGTTTTCTATCCGAACGGCGATTTCT